TCGTGGCCGCAGTCGATAAAGAGGCCGAAACTAGAAACTTGCTAATTCAGAGCAGGGGACTTGCTGAGGCTGATGCAGTGGGGTGGTACACTAGAGCTGGTGAGCAAGACAGAACAGCTGGTGCAGGAGGGTGGTGGTGTACTGGAGCAGATGGTGCAGCTGGTGCGAGAGGGCTATGGTGCATTGTAGTAGCTGGTGCAAGTAGGTGATGGTGCACTAGAGCACCTGGAGCAAGCGGGAGATAGTTCACATAGAGCAGTCGACAAGGCTGTTGCAGGCTGCGGGTGGTACACTAGAGCAGGCGACCGCCACCAGCTGGTGCAGGAGGGTGATGATGAACTGAAGCGGCTGGTGCAGGAGGGAGATAGTGCACTGAAGCAGCTGGTGCAGGAGGGAGATAGTGCACTGAAGCAGCTGGTGCAGGATGAAGATGGTGCCCTGGAGCAGCTGGTGCTATAGGACCTCAGGACTGTGTTGGTCTGTATGACCGGCGTCCCGTAGCCCCGCTGATCGATATAGTCGGCCTCGTAAGCTGCTCGGCTGTGCGGGGCAACGACCATGTATACTCTGCCGCCAATGCGCTGCCCTTTGTTGCTCTTCCCATGGAGTCAATTTTCACTGTGGTCAGAAGCCACGTGGTGACCTTACAATCTCGGATTGATTTACGTTCGGAGAGATAAGATTTACATTGAGAGGGTCAGGATTTTAATTGCCTGGTGTGGGGGCCGAGAGTTTATTCCAATTAAACGAATTTATGATTCTGGGGCTAATGCCGCAACATCTCACTGAACTAACCACCCATGCACTAAAACAAGCGTGACATTTGCCAGGTATTTTTTTATTATGAGATTACTAACTTGTGCTATAGGTTAGTAATCTCAAATTTCACACTTATATTGTGGGATTTGTTTAATTTCAGTGACGGACAGTAATCAGAACTCGAGTTGCACTGTGTATTATTATTTTGGGTAGTGATGCGGTTTATGAAATATCGGTGCGGTCTTGAATAACGGAGAAGTTTATTTTGAAAACAACATAGAAAAATCAGTTCTCGTTGTGTTCTGATTTTCACTTGAAAAATTAATTTTAAGAGTGTAAATCATCTTCATTCATTAAAATAGTATTATTCTCAGATTTGAATGTACACAACTACAATCTCTCAATTCATAATCATCATAAACTTGAATGTTAAGTTGCTTGGATACTTGGATTTATCATGGAATTAATTAAATTGGTATTCTTACTAATAAGGTACGAATTTAAAACATTTTGAAGATATTAATAAAGCAATAAGAGATTCATGAATTGGCTTCAACTAAAACTGGCGCTCTATTTACACATTATAAATTATTGAAGTGAAAAATCCTTTATTCAATAATAAAACAATGAAGATATTTTTATGAATAAAACGATCTATGAAAAACGTTGTTTGCATCACTAATCGTAGCAGGCCTCGTAGCGAGAGCTAACATTTAAGAGCCGAAAACAATGACCCGATACACTGTCAACCCGCGAGACTTCAGCGCATGATGGAGCCTCGGAAGAACCCTAATCTTTCATGACTGCTCTCACTCCCAACACATTATTATATGTCAAGGTTAACCATTTTAATGTTGTAAACTCTAAAGCTATACTTACACGCGATGCAGTCGTATATAGTACGCGAGTCTTCATCTGTCGGAATGAGACAAGTTCTAAATTTGCCTATAAATGCAGTGCGGCCATGCAGTGCGTGATGTGTTGCGTGATGACGGCCATGCAGTGCGTGATGCGTTGCGTGATGACGGCCATGCAGTGCGTGATGTGTTGCGTGATGACGGCCATGCAGTGCGTGATGCGTTGCGTGATGACGGCCATGCGTTGCGTGATGTGTTGCGTGATGACGGCCATGCAGTGCGTGATGACGGCCATGCGTTGCGTGATGCAGTGCGTGATGACGGCCATGCGTTGCGTGATGAATGCTCCGTGTGAACGAAGTTTCTCCATAAGCGGCGTGGCAGCGATAATAATCCGCACGGCCGCTGCTGTGAGGAGCAACGGCGATTAGTTAGCCGCGTTAACGCAGTTAACATTAATTATGCATGCAGCTCGTTTGTGGAATACTTGGTCTTCTAACTCGGGTATGAGGTTACACAGGAAGACCAAGAATTTCATTTAAATATAGGGAAGGTCGAGCAAGGTTTCTGTTTTTTAGCAATCATTTTTTTTGCTTTAATCACGGTTGTAGTTACTTATCTGTTGAATTCGGGCTGTATCACGAAAACAATTTCTTATCCATTAATAAATAATTTCTCATCAGGAAACCGCGAGTTTCACAAGTTGCTCATCATTTACCTTTCGAGAATGCTCTTATCGCGTAGTTGATAAGTCCAGTTACTATTAATGTCTCTTTTAACTACGAAGCTCTCTCCTCTTCGCGTAAAAACCTGGTCATCGGTAGGTTATAGACGAGCAAGAACGTGTTCCTTTGCCCCACTTTTGTGCTAATGCACGTTGTTCTTAGTGACGCATGCCAAGTTTAGTCCTCGCTTTAAACTATTGCTTATAAAAGCTTTAATGCGCTCGAGACAGTTACTTGACTGCGACGTGATCTCGTTTTTCTTATTGTTAAACGATAAGCGCAAACGTTATGGTCTGTCATCTGGGTGATGTTGGCATCAGGATCTGATTGCTTAACTAGGTGAGGTTGAGATGATGTGTCTGCTTAACTAGGTGACGTTGACACGACGTGTCTGCTTAACTAGGTGACGTTGACATGATGTGTCTGCTTAACTAGTAGACGTCGACATGATGTGTCTGCTTAACTAGGTGACGTCGACATGATGTGTCTGCTTAACTAGGTGACGTCGACATGATGTGTCTGCTTAACTAGGTGACGTCGACATGATGTGTCTGCTTAACTAGGTGACGTTGACATGATGTGTCTGCTTAACTAGGTGACGTCGACATGATGTGTCTGCTTAACTAGGTGACGTTGACATGATGACGTGATGGAGAGACACCGCAGCTCTATTGCGTCTTCATCTCATCATTTTCTAGTTCGTGCAACTTGCTTTTTCGTTGAAATGAAAGACAATCGCAAGTTCCTGCCACACGGTCTATTTCATGCGTGAAAATCATCACTGCAATGTTGCTGTGAGGCTTAATGACGTTTACCATTTATTGAAACTTTGGATTGAAAACATGCGAGATTTTTCTTATGATATTCAAACTCAACTTGTTGGAAATTCCTCTATATTTATATATATATTTTTTGTCATAAATATTTCTGCTTCTTCCTTGCCTTTAGACCTGCAATGCCTAGTCTTGGGGTGCGCACTGCGCATGGAACTTGCTTGTGCGCGCTATTTAATAAATAAATTCATGAAGCGTGGGCGCGTTCACGGCGCATTCATTTTAGGTGAGCTGAACCTTGAATAATGTGTGTCACACGTATGCATTCCATTGTACCGTTAGCAATGTTTATTTTGCAGACAATTTTAACGATTGGATTGCATTTATTTTCAAGTTTTGTTTCAGCGTTTGTTTCTTATTACTCTTTTGTGCCTATCTCGTATTTATATTTAGCCACGTATAAACCAAAGAGAATTTCCAGTCATCCAGTCGATTTTGGATTAATCTCTATAAACTAGAGGATCCATGGAATACATACCGATAAATTATTGCGCTATCATCCACGCAAACGTTGCGATGAAATCTTACGAATTAATTTCAAATTATAGTGTCTCCTTTTGTAAGCAGGAGTATATAAGAATATACGAACATTTTTTCGACTTTATTCGCTCAGTTATGAAGTGTCTTCATACGCATTCTCGTTCCGTCATTATAAAACCCAGCGCTTTTTTTTGCAACTCCGATGAGCATAATGCACATTAAGCCTCTGCGTGTCGAGGATGACAACTGAAACTCCGACGAACTTGACGTACAATAATCCTTTACGGTTTCAGTTTAAAAATAAATAATTGCGTTTGTGTAAGTAAACGTTTTAATGATTTCATATAGTTCATTAAAGTTAAGATCACGAGCCAGTCTTCTTAAATTAATAATATGAATATAAACTCGGCCATGTATAAACGGCGGGGATCGAACTGTAGAAGGTGGCTGGGCATAATTTTATAAGCTTGAACGACGTGAACACTTTTTCGCCGGAGTCGTCTTGCAGCTACAGGCTCTCGCCTGCCGAACCGTTATATCAACGTAGCCAATTTTACGCCTCGGTTCCTACATGGTGTCGTTCATTCCTTCAACGGCTGAGTGAAGGCCAGCAATATTTATGAGCGTAAACTAAACTTTGGAAGTAGCTTGCTTCGCGGGTGAATATCACCGAACTTTTCAGTGTCATAGATCATCAAGCATCTAATTTCACATCCTAGTCCAGTAATCTTCATCTTAAATGAAGAGAGGTCCGGTTAGAGAAAAAAAAACTTCCGACGAAAGGAGCGGATGATCCTTATTTTTACCTGTTGTGTGTGTTATATATTTAATTAAGATTGATTTCGAGTGCATACGGAACGGTTTTGCGGTTCGTTTCGTTCCGGTTCGCGGCCCTTGTATGCTAAGCCCTATATACCTTAGTCCTGTTCATTGAATACTTGTATCGACTACCCCCTAACACTTCTTATTGTTCTTGTTCGTGTGATCTGTTAGCTACGATCGAGATTAGTCACGAAGCCAACACTACAACTGTAAAATTTATATCGTCAAGACGAATGGTTCATTTGTGCGTTATTTACTGTAACATTGCTCATCGTTTAAGATTTTCATCAAGCACTCTTTAGCGCTACAAATCAGTCCTTTCTTCATGCCTATGTGTTTTTATTCAACCTGGCCAAATTAAGTTTATTCACATGCCGCTTTTAAGTTGATAATCGCTCTCTATGTATTATCTTATCTCGGGACCGTTACTTCAGCGTAAGTTTAATTTTTATCATACATTTATTATGTTGTAAATTCCTTCTTGTCTTTGTGAACCCTCGCTAAAAGTAATTTTTTTCGTTCAGGCTCAGCAGCTGCTGCGCAAGAAGCTCGTCCACTACACATCTCTCGCCGACTACAGGACGCGGACCAACGCTGCGTTCCTTGCTGCTTCTTATGCCGTGAGTCTCATGGAAAACTACCTCATATATATTGCTTGCTCCTCCTATTGATGCTCATTGTCAATGATATAATATATACAGGGTCATCAATATTTAGCGTTACATTTTTTTCAAAATCAATTGTTGATAATTGTCCTCGATATTTGTCATTTGTTTACACCTTCTCATTAATCTTTATCATTATTTATCATTTATCACCTTTATGGTGTCAAAAAACACCAACTGTCTGCTCAAGTTGTTGACAAACGCCTCCAAAGATCCAAGATTATTCTTTCCCGCATTCATGATGGGACGCTGCCAAACCTCGTTTTCAGTAATGAGAAGATATTCAATGTTGAACACCACTTCAACTCCCAAAATGATCGAATTTGGTCGAAGAATGGTACGAATGACCCCGTGTGGTGACTAGGAAGCAATGCCCGACCTAAGTAATGGTCTGGGCAGCCGTAACAGAGTCCTCAAGGAGTCCCCTCTTTTTTGTTGACAAAGGGGTGACATTGAATCAGAAGAACTATCGAGATGCCATCCTTGTTGGTGCATTGTTGCGCTGGGCACGAAAGCACTTCAAAAAACGCCCATGGTCGTTCCAGCAGGACTCTTCACCATCCCATGGGGCCAAATCGATTCAGGAGTGGCTGTCCGAGAATGTTCCCCACTTCATTACCAAAGATGAATGGCCCCCATCGTCACCGGATCTGAATCCTCTGGATTTTGGGATCTGTTCATATCTTGAGAGCAAGGTCTCGACCGTTTATCATAGCAGTTTGGACGCCCTAGAGGTCAAACTGCTGAAGGAGTGGGCCAAAAGCCTTACACGTGACTCGTGTAAGGCTTTCTATAAGCGTCTACAACTAGTTATTGATGCAGATGGTCGACATATTGAATGAAATTGTGGGAATTGTATCTTTGAACCTCTGCCTACATGAATACATTTTCAAACATTTACAATTGTGTTTCATTTCATAGTTCTACCCACTCAAAGTTGTAACGCTAAATATTGATGACTCTGTATTTGTAAATTCCTGAGGAAATATTTATCTCCCGGCATACATTTCATCTACTGTGTAGTAACAATTAGAAGATATAACTCACTCCGCAGCCTACTACGTTAATTTAATATTGACAAGAACTTAAGACATGTGTACCTGCAGTTGCTGTACCTGAAGATATAACTCACTCCGCAGCCTACTATGTTAATTTAATATTGACAAGAATTTAAGACATGTTTACTTGCAGGTGCTGTACCTGAAGATATAACTCACTCCGCAGCCTACTACGTTAATTTAATATTGACAACAATTTAAGACATGTGTACCTGCAGGTGCTGTACCTGAAGATATAACTCACTCCGCAGCCTACTACGTTAATTTAATATTGACAACAATTTAAGACATGTGTACCTGCAGGTGCTGTACCTGAAGATATAACTCACTCCGCAGCCTACTACGTTAATTTAATATTGACAACAATTTAAGACATGTGTACCTGCAGGTGCTGTACCTGAAGATGTCCCCGGACGACGCCCACAAGCTGCTGATGTCCAACAGGAACTGTCCAGCATTCGTGGCCTACAGGGACGCGTCGCTGGGCGTTCCCTTCCACAACCTGACGCTGCCCGTGTGCCTGCAAGCGCTGCAGAAGGCGCATCGACTCAACTTCTTTGATTTCGACGACTTTGATGTGCTCGAGTACGAGTATTATGAGGTAGGGTGGCGTCCGCTCGCTAAACTCTTGATACAATTGTTTTATTTAGAGCTTTATTCCTAACGGGCAGTACATATACTACGTTAGCTTTGACTATTTAGCTGTGAATACAAGTACCGTGAGAAGAGTTGCCAGGTAAACTGTGGTGCAGTCAACAAGTGTAACTTTCAGTGCTAACTATTGTTTTACTCTGTTTCAAAAGTTGATGGAATTCACTGCTTGAATTCATCAAAGCCTTGCTGTGGCAGAGTCTGATTAGCCTAGTGTGCAATTCTGTCGAATTACAATACAATCAAGCAGGAACATCTTAACAAGTTTAACATTTAATCGACAATTTGATATTAATTAATCTTTTTGTGTTATTTTAGGGAGATATTTGTTATTACTTTAGCGCCTGTCATCGCTATTTACCAAACTTATTCTCTTTCTAATTTCTTCCCTATTTCTATTGGATTGCAGAAAGTCCAGAACGGCGACTTCAACTGGATTATGCCGCAAAAGTTTCTAGCTTTTTGTGGGCCTCACAACGAGAGCAAGTCTAAGAACGGATACACGGTGCACGCTCCTGAGGCATATTTCGACTACTTCCGGTGCCACAACGTCACCGCCATCGTACGCCTCAACAAGAAGCTTTACGACGCGAACAAGTTCCGCGAGGCAGGCTTCGAGCACTACGACATGTACTTCATGGACGGCAGCTGCCCCAGCAACGAGATCATGCACGAGTTCGTGAGAGTGTCTGAGCAGACCCAGGGTGCGCTCGCCGTGCATTGCAAAGGTCTGTTTTTGAAAGCGTTTGCAACTTTGTCTTATGTATGAAGTTGACTTTAAAATTTCAACTGATTTTTTAAAGCGGGCGGTTGACATTTTGATTGATTTTCTGCGTATTTTGATTAGCGCCGTGCATTGCAAAAGTCTGTTTTTGAAGGCGTTTGCAACTTTGTCCTTATGAAGTTGACTATGAAGTTTCAACTAATTTTTTATGGCGGACGGTTGATATTTTGATTGATTATTGCGATAAGTTACTGTGCTAAAGTAGACGTTGTTACTCTGCAGCTGGCTTGGGGCGCACTGGCTCGCTCATCGGCTGCTACATCATGAAGCATTTCAGGTTCACGGCGGACGAGACGATCGCCTGGCTGCGCATCTGCAGGCCAGGCTCCATCATCGGCTCGCAGCAGACATGGCTGAACAGGTGCAAGTCTTCATCAGTCTGTGATCTTGTCTTGATCAGTCTGGGATCTTGTCTTGATCAGTCTGTGATCTTGTCTTGAGCAGTGTAGGATCTTGTCTTGATCAGTCTGGGATATTGTCTTGATCAGTCTGGGATCTTGTCTTGATCAGTCTGGGATCTCGTCTTGATCAGTCTGGGATCTTCTCTCGATCAGTCTGGGATCTTGTCTTGATCAGTCTGGGATCTTGTCTTGATCAGTCTGGGATCTTCTCTCGATCAGTCTGGGATCTTGTCTTTCTCAGTCTGGGATCTTGTCTTGATCAGTCTGGGATATTGTCTTGATCAGTCTGGGATATTGTCTTGATCAGTCTGGGATATTGTCTTGATCAGTCTGGGATCTTGTCTTGATCAGTCTGGGATATTGTCTTGATCAGTCTGGGATATTGTCTTGATCAGTCTGGGACCTTGTCTTGATCAGTCTGGGATATTGTCTTGATCAGTCTCTTGAATTTATTTTTAATGCAATTCCAAATTTGTGGTATTAATATAGTTCTCACATTCTCCTTCACATGAATTTTTCGGTTTTTACGTTAGCTCATTAAATAAGGATCTTAATTACATAGTACAAGTTAATATTATATGGAACTCGTATGTCTGTTGCCACTGCAGCAAGGAGCGCGGGCTGTGGCTGGAAGGCGACCTCTACCGCAGCCAGCACAAGAACTCGAACCTGAACGAGCGCTGCCCCTACGGCGTCTACAGCATAAAACTCACCGCCATACTCAAGGAGAAGTGCAAGGGCGCTGCCACGCTCCCCATAACTGACAATAGGAATAACAACAAAAAGGTTACATTTTACCTTATACTTACTCACTGTGGATTTTTAAATTAATCACCGTGCAAGTTCTTTCTGTCGCTAAATTTCAGTAACAATTATTTGAGATTCCTCTGGGATAACATTTGTCAAAACGTCTACGTTTTTCTTAGCTGACCTTGCAGTGTTGCCAAGGAGCACCACATAAACTTTACATGTTTCATATAGATACCGTTGGAGTCTAAAAGACGGGGATCACGCAATATTTATATTTGTTTTGGTTGGATACATTTAACCATCGAATACTATTCTCGTTTGTTCGGGAACGGGAATTCGTGTATTTCTTTAGTGGATATTTATATTACGGAGATATCAAAGTGCACAAATCGGGAACAAAATTCGCCTTCAAAATTTTAGCTCTCTGAAACTCGTGTCAAGCACGTTTCCTTTAATTCTCTTATATGAAGTAGGTAATATAAAAGTATTTCAAGTAATAATTTCTCTTCAATAAACCAGAGCTGCGCATAGTCTTACCACGTCGTCTTGGCAGGTGGATGGGCGCGCGGTGTCCAGCGATGAAGACGACGAAGACGGCGACGAAGAAGACGAAGACCAGGGCGCTGTGAGGGACAGGAAGGCGGGTAGCGCCGTGCAGGCTGTCTTATCCAGGGTGGATACGCTGCAGCTGGATGACAACAAGGTGCGTCTTATCCAGGGTGGATATGCTGCAGCTGGATGACAACAAGGTGCGTCTTATCCAGGGTGGATACGCTGCAGCTGGACGACAACAGGTTGCGTCTTATCCAGGATCATAACACACCTGGGGCGTTTTTGCTAACGTTAAATGATCGCGTTGCAGGTGTTGTAGCTGTAGCTGCTTTTTTCCCTAGTTTCACTGTAGGTGCAGACCTTTTTTTTTTCAATAAGACTCTTGGACGAACAGTTGAGCACCGAAACGAATTCGGTTTTTGCGCGCATTAGGTATTGTGTGTTACATTGTGAGAAAAAATTGTCGATGAAGCTTTAAAGATGTGATTTTTGTTATTCGGGATATGTTCCTCCCAATGCTTGGGTAACACTTCACACGGTAGCAGAAGTAAGATAATGATGGAGCTTTTATCTCTCAGACGGGTAGCGGTAGTAGCAGTGAGACGTCACTTATCAACGGCATGAGCCAGGGCGACCGCCTCAACAGACTGAAGGCTATCAGAGCCCATATCCGCTCTGCCACCACCGGACGGATCAAGTCAGTATATAACCATTCTCCTTTTTCAAACGATAATTCATCGTCTCTATCGAAAAAAACTGAAGTTGAATGCCTGGTCACGTTGCAACAGATTACGGTTCACGGTCTACTCTTGCCTCTTGGCATTTTTGACTGCAATAATTCAATCTCAATAATATTTCTTATTGGAAGGTGCTTTACCATGATCTTCATACTTCATTCATTCATGCTTCATTTATTCAGATCACAGTTTCTTGAGAGACTATGCCTTGAAGAATGTTTGCATTATATTTTAACCATATACATGTGAAACGCAGCTCCTTCCTCAACGTTCTACCTGAGAGTATGCAACAACTCCATCCTGGTTTATAGCGGTGAAATTTAACCCAAAATTCCCTTTGCTATTTATTGATATCAAATCATTGTTGGCAGCAATGACGAGAAGTCGCACAATCGCACCAAGTCGACGCCACTGCGGAGTTCATCCTCGTCCCCGCACGGCGCCCTGGGGTCTGATGAGGGACGCTTCATGAGCACCATGAACAACAACAACGCGCCGTCCCACATCAGCCTCGCTAACATGAAGTCCCCTCTCAAGTCGGCCCGTGGCGTGTCTACACAACAAAGCGGTGTCGCTAAAGCCACGACTAGCGGCATTAAGGCCACCATAGGAGGCTTCAAGCTGGCCATGAGCAGCGGTGCGCACACCTCGCCTGCCAGCTCGCGAGAGGCGGCGAGACGCGCCATGCGATCCTCTAACGCCACGGCAGTGAAGAGGTGACATTTTCTTCTAGGCAGATACTCACTAAAAACAAATGAGTTTGTGCTGTATAATGACAAATTTGTTCCATATTATGATTGTCTCAGAAATGCATTAACCCGCAAGCTAAACTGTACTTGATTCGTTTCAAATATTAATTGCCATTTGCCGGTCAATAAGATTAACTCCGTATGATGAATTTTTGTGTGTATTGTTGCGCACCGAAGGCTGTTTTGCGAGCGCTATCATTACTATTTTACCGATATATGAGCTCAAATGACTTTTTTCCATCTGGACTTGTTTTGACGGATACCGGAAATTTGGTTTTTGTAATATTTGTGTTCAGTCAATGTCATTATAAGATATCCCAAGTTTTTTCAAAGTCACGCTACCCAAATTTGTAGACTATACGTAATTGTTTGATGCACACTCACCATCACCGCAGCATTTAGGTGGAGTGGTTCATTGTACCGATGTGTTATGTGCACAGGCACCGTATTGCGTGTGGAGCTAACACTTCTCTCTGTATTTCCAACACTTGCTGCTCTCTGGATACTTGCTTCACATGTGACGAGGTTCTGGTAATGCCTCTGTCATATTACCTCGATTTTATTCTTCTTTTTTGCATGATTATATTTCCAACAACCTAATACACATTTTACGATGTTTTCGATAATTTGAGTAAATCGTTTTCATGATTGAACTTTGGAGAACGATCACATTCTGATATTTTACTTATTTATAACTCACTTTTATTGCATCTACCGCTTGGTGTCCTAATTAATAATTATCGTATGGGCTTGTTATGCATTCTCTGTGATTCGGCGTTTAATACCGTTCAACCTTTTTTAATACTGCTTAAGATATTTCCTCGATTTCGTTTTACCCACACATTTGTATGCATGTTTAACCTTTCCTATCTTTTTTTTTTGCATGTACGTTTACGTGTGTCCTTATCGCCCGTTCTACTTTGAAATGAACAATCAAACATTCTTCCTGTATGAAACAAATCACTGCATCATCCTGCTCACTCAAAATAAATGAGTTAGTTATACTGGCCACGACTTTTACGTTGGTTCGCACCATAGACACGCGTGGTTACTGGGCGGGCCGCACCGCCTCACGTCTCACCACCACCACCACCAGTTGCTCATGAGACGACTGCATGGCAGTTGTGTTGGTGGTGGCAAGGGTGTTGGTGGTAGAGGCAATGCAACACCCCGAGGTATGGTCGGGGCCGCGAAATGTGAAAGAATTGTTGGCGTAAGTAGATTCGACGGCGATGATACCAGCGGTGACGCTAACGAAGTTTCGAAAGACAGCGCTGATGACGGCATGTCGGCTTCTGAAGAGACCAGCGCCTTCGACGGAGAAGTCTTGAGCAGCAGACGTGGCCACGTTCCTACTCTACGTAGCAAGGCTAACGAGGCTCATGAATCCGTTGAAAAATCTGATTTAGAAAAACGCGGATCTCAGGATCCCGGAGTGCGAATGTCTAACGATTCTGTTGAACTATTTTCCAAGAGGAATATTTCTGATTTCCAGGATACGGACGAAGCAAAATGTGACTGTTCAGACATGGAAGTCACTGAAATGGAAGTGTGTGATGATGCTGAAAAAACGTCTTCTGTCGTTACCAGACCTGCTACTAAATATCCCGAGAGTACGGAGAATGAGCCTTCAAAATCTACGAATTCAACTGTTCAAAACTTCCCAAGTGAGTCAGTTGAACGGTCGTCCACTGATGCCAAGACTGAAACTCTCAACAAAATTGATCAGGCTTGTCAGACGTCCTTACCTCGAGCTGATGGAAGCAAGAACATATCTTACTACAAAAGCCGATTTGCTGCAAGCCTCCCTCCAGTACCGTGTTCTGGAAGTCTTCCCGTCACTTGCCCTGCTTCGTCCTCTATCACTTCGCCAACTTTGGTCTCTAGCAAAGCTGCGTGTCCATCTTCATCGTCGTTGAACGCACCTCGGTGTCGCGCTCGCTTCATGCGCTCTAAGCTGCGCTCACTCTCCTCTTACGCTGGGGTGCTGGGGGGCTGCAGCTACCTATACTCCTCGGGCAGTAACAACGCGAACACTCCTTCTGGCTCTACAGGACCGAGTGCTTGGAAGTTTTCGAAAGACAATCCTAAAATTTCGACAAAAACTAATAGCACGAGTCGAGGTGTTGATTCTTTCAGTGCTCCCAAAGCGGTGTGTATCTGTGCTGCTCTCAAAGACAGGGCGACAGCTTCCTTTGCACCTCGTAACGTTGCAGCCAAGTCGTCAAAGAAGACTATTTCTTCTGGGAGTAAAGCAAGTAGCGTGAGAGGGGAAGGCACCGAGAGTGCCTTAGAAAACGATAGCAAGATGTGCCTGCCTTCAGTTACGCGATCAGGCGCTGCCCAGTCGGCGAACTTCCGGCCTATGATGAACTTGTCGTTAAATGCGCGATTAGTTGCCACCCAATCGTCCGGCAATCGGAGTACCCCTGCAGCAGCACCTTCAACCGCTGCAGCTGGAACTCAGCTAAACAACGCGAAGCCTGCAACGTCTCGTGCCGCTGCCAGTAACTCAGAGAGAGCGAACAGCGCCGACCGAGATCTGATTGCTCCTCAGAATACTTCTAGTGTCACGCCAAACCGACGTAACAGTGCTATTCCTACCTACCGGAGCTGCGGGGCTAGCAAGAGTAGAGCTAGCAGCGTTAGTCCGAGCTCGCAATGCCGGGTAATGAAGAGCGGGGATATAAGGAGCACAGACAGAAAGACTTTCTGTGATAAACGTAATAAAAATATTCAAAATACTGCCTTCATGTACCAGCAAGAGCGGGACTCTAATGCTATGTGCAAGGATGGAGATAAGAACGGTAATGATTACTTCTCCGAAGCTCACTCTTGCAACGACCCGCCCAACGAACTGACTAACGATAAGGAAACCGCTGGTGTCAACGAAGTCAGTAATAAGAGCCTCTCGAACTCGAGTCACCGCAACAATCTCGCGGCAATGATCAATGCTGCAACGCTTTTCAAAGACAACGACCACGATATGGGCACGTCAGAAGGCGCCAGCAGCAGCACGCGGTCGTGCGACGCTGTCACTCAGCGCTGCTCCAGCGAACGCTCTTCGTCGGACACGAGCGCTGCATTGCACGACGGTCGTGCTCAGCTGACCTCATGCCGTGCCAAGTCCGCGGCCCCTCCTCTCAATAGTAATGCATCCTTTACCCTCAAGTGTTTGCCTACGGTGTAAGTTAGGTTAGAATAGTACATTTTTACCTAAGGCACTAGCGCTTAATTCTTTTCTCAGTCATTTATGCCGTTGAGATATAATTTAATTCAACTGTACTCCTCGGTTTTTCATTATTTATCAACTGTTCTCGTGTGGCCTACCTCTCATCCACTTCAGGACTTTCTGCGTATGTTTTGCGTTTCCCAAGTTTCATATCAAAATCTGTCTATTTTACGTTTCAAGTCTGAATATGACCGCAGAGTGCGGTATGTTATAATAATGTCCGAGTTGTTGATAGTTGTGCATGTATAGCTTGCAAAATTCGCTAACTTACACGTTACTTGCATGAACCATCGTCATTATTTAATATTATGGCTGAATCTTCTTTGCACTTCAGCGAAATGAATCAATTAACACACTTGGCATGATCAAAATGGCGTTCAACCGTCGACGAAGGAACTTTCTGTTGACCGCCGATCTAACCGTATTTAAGATTAGGTAGCGTGATAGGTGCTTGCAATTTGAGCTGAACTTCTGGCGTCAAATGGGTTTAACAATTTCCCATTTGTTTTGATACTCCATTTTTCATACTCCGAAAGTTAAACAGTTTTTTTATCAGAATAGTTATGACATTTTTCGATCGCGTTTGTTTTTCCAACGATTTGCTCATGATGTTATGTTGTTCAGATTTTCATTGAACTTTACAATGCTGCAATCCTGGTGATTTTTTTACTTCATCCTCTGTATCCACCTCTTTCCGCATCTAGCATTTATTTTTGAAAATCTGTTAGTATTCCTGGAACTGATTTTCGTTATTTTGTTAATCAAGGAGTGAATTGGAGGAAGAGTTTTTGTTAAATTAGATTCTGAACGATTTTTTTAAACATTACTGAAGTTGATGAATTACTATTTACAAGTAGGATATGTGATTTAATACAGAGCTTCTCCAACTACAAAGATTATCTAACCTCATCAAGTAGGTATTGCTTTTCTGCCTCACCTTTTAGCGTTGTCTTCACTTCGTGTGATGGTTGTTAGGTCGCCCTGACGAGAATCTTAGTTCCTTATTTCAACTCATATCATGAGCTTCCCCGAATATTATACTTGAAAAAGTGTGCTTAATTTCTTTCAGACAAAATTAAGACAAAAGTAATGGCTTTTATTTCTGGATACACGGTAGATTGGGTCGAATGTATTAGCGGACGCGGATGAGACAGTGTGACGCGACGTGCGCGTGTTGTGTGGTGCCTATTATCCCAGCGATGGTACATCTCTTCTATTCTAACTATGTTTTTTTCATGTGATTTGTTTATTACATGTTGCGCGTGCGACTCTTTACCAACCATTTTCTAAGTTTATAGGCCACTTATTCTTTCTGGATACATTGTTCATTTGTTGTTATTACTTCATTGAGTAGAGTGATTTATGGATATACGTTACTCACAATTTCGACTGAATTATTTCTATGTGATCTTTAATAGAACTTTTGTTTCATTTTTTTTCTCAGTCGCGGAAACAGTCACGGCAGCGGTGGGACAAGGCTTCTCACTTACAGCAACAAAAACAAGATCAACAACAACAGCAGCGGCAGCAGCAGCAGCAATGATAACAGCATCAGGACGTCGAAAACAACTATTGTCAGCAGATGACTACCGCTGCTGTCATCCAGTGTGCCTAGCCAAACCACGAACATCAGCAACGTCAGCTGCGGCAGTAGCAGCAGCAGCAGCTGCGGCCGCTCACCCGACTTCACGACTTCTGCACAAACAAATGACGAAATTTTTACCGCGTCAGATGCCGAGAATTATTCCTCGGAGTCTCTTTCCTCGGTTGTGGCTAACGAACAGGGAAACGGTCAAAAAGAAGCACTTGATCAAACGTTTGGCTCAGAACTCGGCGCTCGGGAGCCACTACGACTCGATGGCAAGCCTCCCTACGGCTCCCCAACCTCAGGTTTGTCTGACTCCTTGTGCCGCCGATCGCCCCAGGGCAGTGATGCTCAGTCAGCGACACAAGCCAACTTTATCGACGGCGGCAAGAAAAGAAGGAAGAAAAGAATCAGTAGCGTGCGGAAACCATGCTCATGTGACTCCACCTCAGCATGCGAGTTCTGCGACTGTACCTATAAACGACAGTCTGTGTCTGAGCCGAGTAAACCCGTTAATGGCACAACACAGCACGCTGAAACCATCCGCAAGAAAATTGAATCCTTCCGAAGACGATCTCTCTTCTCTGTCAAATCCATGTCGCGACACAGCAAGGAAGAAAGTGACTTTGAAACCATCGGCAGAAAACCAAAGGCTCAAAGATTCCAAGATCTTGTTCTTACCGAAAGACATACCTCCTCCCCCTCCTCCTCCACCGCCTCCACCTCCTACTCAGAGGAGAAAGGCACTCACCAAGATGGACGTAGACCCCACGAGAGTTCCTCCCCCTCTACCCCCCGCCTGTCGAAACGTACGTCTACCTCCGCAACGAAGCACAACCTTGCGAATCAAACCTCCGGCAACGAAGCGCATAAAATCCTGTCCGACTCTGCCTTTACAAAAATTCAATCAGTTCGATCTGTCAAGTCAGGCTTTACTAGAGTTTCATCTACAACAGCAACATCCAGGTCAACTGACAGCGACTTCTCAGAGATCGAAATCTGTGCCAAAACTGCCGAAACCAATTCAAAAACAGACATCGCGACACCCGGCGGCTCAACAACGCAGTTTGACCCCAGACCCAAAGCTAAATTACGTGGTACGGAAGCCTTTGAAAGAAGCTTACGGAGCCCCCAAGCAAAACTCGCTCCTCAAGAGTCTAGTCAGCGCTGGAAGTTCTTTGGCAGGTTCTCGCAAACCAAACAAGCAACAGTGACTGCAGACAAGAGTATTTCTTATGACGAGCCTTCTGACATGAATCTTCTTTGTGACGAACGTGACTTGCCGTTTGATGAAACCGTCACTGAAACTGTGCCGGATGATATGTTTGCTTTATCATTCGACAAGTCAGAAGATTGGAGCACCAACACTGAACAAACGAAAGACCTTGGTTCGTCACGCATCCAGTACCGGTCAGAGAAGTCGTCAACGGTGCCATTTCCCACAGGAACAATCAATAAGGCTTCTTCGAAAAGACATGGAGATGCGAGTTTCCAGCGTCCGGTCAAAGTAAGTGACCGTAAACGCAATTCAAATCCCTTGAATAGTAGTATAAGAGGGAAAGCATCTCGCGCCTCAACAATAACGCCGAAACACACAGGAACTAACCGGCTGAGGACCTCTACCCGTTCGTCGCCACGAACTGAACGCAAATTCAAGTCAACTAATACGAATAAAAGCAGGTATCATCATGTGCCTGTGCCGCTTGAAGTCGCAGCCGCATTGAGGAAAAAGAAAAAGAAGAAGAAACCTAACATTCCCATAGTGAAGACTACTGATCAGTATGTTATCCATAAAGAAAAGGGAACTTACAAAGTTACTCGCAATATCCCAGACGATTGAGTAATATACTAAACAGATATTGCAGTAGGGATGTCTGAATTTTTTTTAGAGTTAAGAGAGTACATGATTTTGCCGAAGCTTTTGGCTGCTGGCTAACTCGTATCTATACGAGTGTCTAACGACGGTGATTTTCGCGTAATCGGAAAAATAACACGATGATTTTCTTTGGGATGGCATCTGAAGATATTGAGGCACACGGAACTTCATCTTAACGTTATCTCCTTACGAGATGCATACACGATTTTAATAAGAAAACTGTTAAGACTCTACAAAAATTTAGCTATATTTAAAGAAACAAACGCGCGCGTTTTTTAAACTGGAATGCATCTTCATGACATCATTGATGGTATCTTATTTTCTATTACTGTTTTTACTGAAATTGTGAATGTGGAGTTGAAATGTCATGTGTGAATTCTTCGCAAGGAAAAACGTGAATCTCTTTCGAATAGAGCCTTGCTTTAAACTAAGATATCTTTTACTACCAAAGGAACTCGTTTTTATGTTAATATTTGTCGCTTGTTATTCACACTGTGTATGAGGCTTCAGAACGTCAAGTTTAACGATTATTATAGTATGTGGTATGCAATATTTACTTAAGGCTTCGATTGAAATTTCAGCTGTTAACCCAACATGGACTAGTTCGTCATTCCGCTTACTAATTGTATGTACTAAGAGATTGGTACGTGACGCCAGCAATTATTCGGGAAGTTACTTGAATTCGTTTAAGGGGAGCGTCTGCCCCAAAAATTATCTCGGCTATTTACAGACGGATCACTTTGAAACTTGGTACACATATGTAAAATCAAAAAATAGACAGCTTTTATTCGTGTCAATTTTTCGAAAAAATTTGGATAGGGCAGAATGTCAGCTTTAAAATTAGTATAAAAACCGAAAAAGTAAAAATTTTCAATTTTAGGGTAGACGCTCCCCTTAATGGTAGTCAATGAATTTTAGTGCTAGCGGGCACTGTTATGATGGTTTTATCATGTGATTGAGCCACCTGTACAGTTTTTTATCGGTAGTGCTTTTCTCTATTACACTAGCATTAACCTGGTCAGAAGTGTCGTTTTCTATCTCAGAGAGACAAGTTAAGAATGTTACCAGCATCAGCGACACTCCTAACTTGGTCTATTCTTCAACGCTTACACTACTACAATAAATTCGTTTTCAATGTGCTGGGAGCAAATTAATGCTCGTTAATATGGTAGGACGCTTTACATCTACATCGCGCCATGACTAAACGCGTGCAGATGCTCAGTAACATGCGAAAAACGTCTGACTTGAGAGCTGCCTCCCACTGAAATTTATTGACCGTCACTTCTCGACGTGAACAAACTTTGTACGATTAAATCATGATATTTATAAGACATAATTGACTAACATATTTTTATTTAAATTAGTGTTTACATTCTACGAGCTAATCTTTAGCCAAAATTCTAGGTATTTTTCCTGGAATTATCCAACAAAAATAAAAAATCTGTACCGTAGGTCCCTTTCCACGTATCACGACTTGGCCATGAAATAATTCAATACTAAAAACTAACATAAAAATCAAATGGGGGCTCGCGAGTCAGATAGATTTGCTTGAGTAAGTGCGTAAACTATTGTTACTGTGATGCAATAGGAAGGTGATACGTGGCTTTTAACGACTAATTGTTTTGTAATCAAATACCTTTTAGTGCGTGTTGTACTGTATAGTAATAGTTGTTAATGTTAAAGAAAATGTTTAATATCACTAAGTACATCTCTACACAGTATGAATATTTTGGTAAGGTTTAATGTTTCTCGTTGAGGAGAGACATGCTGGTGTCGATTCATTCTTTGGTAGGCGCAAGTAGTCAACTCGTCGCTTCTATGCTCGTTTCAAAGCTTGTTCTGTTAAAAGCCCTTTGGTCTGGATTCAAACTCGTGGGTTTGTCTTGCAATCGCAGCTCCACGCAAGCAGCATAGTGGCGAAGGCAAATTTTGTACGGTACGATTGACTGCATTACATCGATTCATTCATCACAAGCTCTAAGGCAAGGGAAAAATTCGGTTTTTATGCTTGAAGGTAGGTGGATAATATTTTGTTCTATGGAAAAGATAGGGATATCCAAGGTGGATAATGCTTTGTTCTACAAAAGAGAAGTAAATTCTGGAAATTCATCTTCGTAGTTGAACTGATCCTTGTTTTGGCCGTTCCTCATTCTACTTTCTTCCACTCTTACATTTCCATGGTGAGGCGGCTTGAATTCTGTTCATTAGGATATGTATACATTTATATAATTTTATGTTTATGCTCTCTGAAATCCTTAATTTCGTGCTGTGTCATTAGGTTAGTAATTTTAACTCGCATTACTAGCTGTAGAACGACTTGCTTACCTCCCAGTGTAGCATATCTAACAAATAAATCAAACAATCTTTAATGCTCACGAATTTCGTAAACAAAACATCTGATCCTAACAACTTCTCTACATTTGTTACAAACCTTATTGGACACCCGTGTTGGCAAATTTTTGTACAAAAATGTATTTTTCTAACGATCACTTAATACAGAAGATCATAGACCGATTGTTTGGTATAGATATACCTAGATAGTGAGGCATATTGTAAAGTTCTGAACGTGAAAGCATCTAGATGGAGTTTTTGAAATGAGATGGTTTCCTCCTTTCTCCGATCCAGATTTGGGACTTGTATACCATCTTCATGCCCACTCCTAGGGCCAACATCCTGATGTAATGTACAGTAGTTCAATTACTGATTCCTGCCCACATTAACTGTGATACAATTCCATACTCTGTGAGTACCAGTAATCCATTTATAGATCAATTATTAGAAAAAAACATAGTTCATTAAATGAAATGATTTTTTGGTTAAGATTTTCATAAAGAAAGAGAAGTTGAGAGATACATCGAGTGTTGTCAATAATATTATCAGTAGGCCTGCTTTACTCCAATGCTGTAGAATATAGAGAAATAAATGAGTATGACTTTCCAACTGCAATTTTATTTGTCCTTGAGATAAAATTCAACTCATTTATAATGATTTTTAGGTTCACTATTATGTGGTTTTATTAGCCCTTATGTGCAGTACAACTAAATTTGTTTCTCACCATCTTCCCAGTTAAGATTTAGATGCTTTCTTCAACACATGAATTCTATCTTTGGTCACATGTGGGTTGATTTCATATGATTCAAGGCAAAAAATCTGAAATGGTTCAAGATAAAAACTTTATTCATGAAAATACTTTGATATTTATCACTGCCTTAGTCTTCAGGTCTCTCAGGAGGAGGTCCGCATGGCTGGACCATTTTTTCCATCATTGAGAACTTGATTCTTCCCTTTGTTTCATTCTCACAGATGGCCACATAATTCAGCATGTCAAAATGACCCATGAAGGAAGCATATGTGTCTCGCTGTTGATTCACACACCATTCAAATTGCGAGGTGTCAGCATGCCCTGCAGAAGAAAATCAATTCCGTAGTTAGCAGCCACTTACAGTACTTCATAGTTCTCATGAAGAATCAATGGAATAATGCTAGTTGTTCATCAATACCTGACCAGCATTTTGAATTTTCACAAAATTAATAAAATCTGATGTCTGATTCATAACATTGGCAAAAACTTAGATTGTTGCTTAACTCTATAATGAAATTTTCATGTTGAATGACATTTTTATGGCATAAAAGATAATGAATGTCCAATTTTATTTATTCTGAATGTTGTCCTATGACTAAACCAATCATTGAACGTAAATGTATAAAGAGACAAAATCAATCAAAATATGGTGCCAGCAATATATATTATATGGAATTACAGCAATGTTTCAAAATTTTCATCACCAAATTAAAAAAACTAAAACTATGAGCTCTGGCTACAAATCAAAGCTCAAGTTGGAATTATTCTCAATCATTATTATTATTCTAAGTCTGAATTACTATCATTTGGTAAAATGTTTACATTTAACCTATCTACAATGTTCCATTACCGTCTTGGTAACTAGATTGCATTTTTAATATATATAATATATCAATATTCATTGACTATAATAACATTAAAACATAATATTTATTAGTATTGTTAATATAAATTTTTCAAACTCAAGATGATATGTGTGATGTACAGTGCCAAAACACAGATTTTTTAGGTTCAGTTCTTTTTTAATTTCCTCTTCTACTCAAAATTTAAGCCAATGTTTAATGTATGTTAATGCTGATATAAATTATAAATGATACTTTACTGGTCTACTCATAGGACTCAAAAACAAACTTGGGGATGAGTCTAAAAAAAGTCTCTGCTATGACACCATGGGTCCTGATTGAGTTGAAAATAGTGAATACCATAGAGGATTGTGGATACCAGCATTCACATTACTGTCCAATAGAATGAAAAATGAAATGAATGTCAAAAGGTGTTTGTTATCAGCAGTCATAATTTACCACAACTGCACTTTAGCATCTTTCAGGCCATGAATTACTGTGTTAATTATTATGCTGTACCATATCAGCTATATTTTATAGGCTGGGGCAGTCACCAGTCAGGTTTGCACAGCAGGAAATGGAGAAGGGAATCACAGCAAATGAAAAATTGTAACATAACACAGCTGTGAGGATTGTAATTTTTCTACTTCTGATTAAAAATTTCATGGCTCCAAAGTGATAATTTTTTTATACATCCAGAATCTAGCAGCTTGATTGTGCACTCTTTGCAACAATTAGATGGGAGGTAATTCATGAGACAGGAATCTGGCAGCTCTGAAATGGCAGGAAAGCTCTATTCAAGGCTTGAATGATAGATATATTGCACGTCTGGCTGTGAGTAGATCCAATTTGATATAAAGCTTCAATTAATTTATTAAAGCAGACTTGGATTCTACTTTCCAACAACAGATTTTCATAAACAAGTTAACATGAATGGCCATGGTGTCAATGCAGACTTTTTTAGACTCATCCTAAAATTAATTTTTGAGTCATGTAAGTAGACCAGTTTACAGTAAAGTATTATGGATACACTTACAAGCATTATCATACATAAGAAATAGGTTAAAATCTTAGGTATGTGAGGAAATTAACAATGAACTAGTTCTAAAAAATTGGTGGTTTGTCACCACTATGCAGAGGGTGGATGCAGCATCGCCAATATATGGATTTTTAAGCCCAAAGCATCGCCGGCCATTTTAAAGATGCGTCGCCGGGTAATTTTTAATGAAAAGCCATTTATGCTGAATAATGACAAACTATTTACAAGCCACGAACTTAAATACAAGGTTGCATGCACGTGTTACCCCAAATAACTAATTTTACCCTAAAAACAGTCCGATTGTACAGCAAGTGTCAACTGAACATGTAATAAAGCAGTCTGACCGCTCTAATGTGACCGAAACTACGCAATCGAAAAAACGTTGTTTACATTTTTTGCGGGAACTCATCGCAACTGATTTCCGGACAAGCTTCGCTGCATCGTAATCCATCCAACGTACCGGAAACCTTACTTTTTTTCTAAATAGTTGGCCAAAGACTGAGAAATATATTAAATGCAAGAATTTCAATCTAAATGTGTCGGCAAGATCTTCTGAAGGCGAAAATTTGGCTACTGAAGCGTCGCCAAAGATCTTGCAATATTCATCCACTCTCTGCACAGTGGGAACTTTGTCACCATGAATGAGTCACCTGTGTCATCATTTAATAATTTAGTGTTAACTGCCATAATAGCTGGTAAAAACTTCATAAATGACTTTTTGTTCAAAGCAGACAAACTGTCAAATAGAAAACTTTACCACAAACTAGTAGTGCCTCATGTAGCCATGGAAACTGGAAAGTACATAGGCTTATGATCCTATCTACTTTCCAAGCTATAACTGGACCAGCCAGATTTCTTTTATAAGAATTATCTTTGATCTTAAAGTTAATGCTAACAAAATTATATACCAATTTCGTCACTAGGTTCAAGAGTTATATAAAAATGTCACTTTGAAACACTAAAACTTAAGCAATCTGCAAGCTAAAATCTGAAATATCAAGCAAAATCTTCTGATGATTATTGGTAATAAAAATGCATTAGGATTGAATTTTAAAATTTTCAGGCCATAAAGGACTTAAAGCTAAAGGGTACCTAATTTTTCCTAATTTTAACTAAAGAAATTAGTTAAGCAACTTAAGCTCAAGGGCCATTGCAATGAGAAGATATAACGTATGAGAACGTATAACATAAGCATAGTCTTATTTGTCTCACTCACTGGTAAATGCGGGTGCCTAAGTGGTAACTTGTTCCCAAATTTTCAGTTTGAGTGAATTTGGCTCATCGCTCATGCCTTGCTCTTGTACCCCAGACAGGAATAATGGGCAGATTTTTTAGAATACCGCGGGTGAAAAGAGGCTCTTCAAGGGTGAAGTTGGAACATCACGGGTGCAATTTTCGTCCTCCCGGGTGCTTCTCGAAAATTGCAGGTGAGAATTTACTGTTCTCGGGCAATTTTACGAAATAGCGTGTGAACAGCTGCGACCTACCGTCTCTCAACTTCTCGCGCCGAGCCGCCGAACGAGAGGTGACGCGCCATAGACCAGCAAATTACCTCAAATCAGCCCTGGAGCCAACATCAACCTTCTAAATGCTATTGATATAGTCATCCTGGCAGTGGCACCTAAGCAGCTGTACTCAATTGACCCATCGTACCTCATGAACTTTAAACCAACAATGCTTCAGCTCACAAGCTGCTATTCCACATAGTTAACGGTTGAAACGTCGTTCTCCAATAACTTTCAACCGACACCATCACCTCGAAGGATTGGATCGTCGGCAAGCATATGTATATGATACTCGTATGTCGGATGGTTCTACAGGCAATTAAGTTGAGAACACTGGTTGTCGAGTCATTACTATGGAGTTCTTAAGAAATTAATGCAGTAGTAAAATAGATAATAAATACGATACAAAAGTCACTTGTTTTAATCGTATAACATAAATAATCTTCAGAATACTTCAAGCCAGGTGGCCCTGCAGTTGTTAAAGCTCAAAGTACCAAAATTGGAGCAAACATGCGCGTGTTCGATACAGCTCTGCATGTGCGCCAGGGGAGCACAGCCATGCACCACCAATTTTGTGCACCAATAAGCCCTGAATCGAACGCCTTGGATCTCTCCGGACATCCACCAATCAGCCGTGAACCACTCGGCTTTGTCTTCCTCCGGCCACGCATAGAACCTGCCGTGCACCACCAGGCCGCAGATCGAATCTGACTTCAGGGCATCGTTAAATTACATAATTTTACGTTCACCGCATCTGAGGTTAGGTTTCAGATAGTATAGTTCTGTTCCAAAATTTATCGTCCTTCGACAAGTGTCCGTTCGACTGAGGGCTGGTTCGACTCACGGCCTAGAGACTGACGGCTTGAATTGTTGAAGGCTACGTTCCGGAAGGCAGGAATCATGATGGTCCATTACATTCAGGGAAGTGGTGGTCTTTGGCAGGCGACCCGTGCGCCAGTTTCTGGTCAGAATCGACGAGGAGCAGTCAAGCAAAACTTGGAGCAGTGAGTTTCGCGTTCGAGACCGCAACAAGCTGTGAATGTTCTGCGTTGTTAAGAATAGGCGGCAGGCATATGGCCTCATAAATGCTGAAACTGTTATATTTATTATTATCGTATTTATTTTGTTTATTGTTAACATCTGAGCATACCGCCTTCAATTTGCTGGGCCGTATGTATCCAACTTGGTCAAATGGCTGCGTATTCTTAAACATGTCCACGTATTCTTATTATCGTGTTCTAATAATATAAGTGTTCTGAAGGTATTCCTGATATTTTTAATAATATAAGTGTACACGTATTCCATATATTGTATTCTTAATATTCTTAATAATATGAGTGTCCCCACATTCTTATTATCGTATTACTAATATTCTTAATAATACAAGTGTCTATGTACGGTATTAAAGTATCGTATTCCTTATAATATAAGTGTCCACTTATTCTAATTACCGTATTCCTAATGTTCTTAACCCTTTATGCCCTGGCGTGACAAATTCGTCACACAGAAAAAAAACTCGGTTTTCCAACAATTTCACGTTTTCTGTCATTTTTTCGAAAAATTCACAGGAATAAAAAAAGTCTTAGATTTATTTTTTACATATGTGTACCAAGTTTCAAAGTTATCTGTCGGTAAGTAACCGAAATAAAATTTCCAATTTCCAATGGCAATGTCCAATTTCTTATGGAAATTCTATTTCAGTTAATTACTGACAGATAACTTTGAAACTTGGTACACATATGTAAAAGATAAATCTATTATTTTTTTGTTCGTGGGAATTTTTCCAAAAAAGTGAAAGAAAACGTGAAATTCTTAGAAAACTGACAAAAAGGGGGTACTGTAGAAATCTATCACCTCCTATGATTTTTGAGCTACAACATCGAGACGCATATCATTCGATGCGTAAGGACCAGTATTTTTCAGTATTCTGCGCCGCAGAATACTGAAAAACTAAGAAATTCATACTGAAGAAGATGGATTAGTCCTTGGTTTTTTTTAAGCAACGTTCGAAAATTTAAATAAACTTTGGAAGACACTGAGACTGACAGCCGACACGTGTCACGGTGTCAGCGCAGTAATGAGCAATATTCTATGTCTGACTTGAGTTGAGAGCCTCACCAAAGTTCCCGCTCGTATTTACTATAGAAAAATACATTATATCAAACATACATTATTTAGTTGCAAAGGAATGAAAACCAGTTCAACTCATCATTGGTTACGGCATAGTGACAAAGCAGAGAATTTTTTAGACTCTCCCTCATGTTCATTTTTGAGTCCTATAAGTAGACCAGTAAAGTATCATGGATACCAGCATTATCATTCTTAAGAAATTGGTTTAAATCTTGAGTTTTTAAGGAAATTAAAAATGAACTGATTCCAAAAAAGCTCTGGTTTGCCACTATGGGTTACGGTGCTCGAGCAATTCAAAGATGTGTTATATCATGAAGGCAACCCCACAACAGTAATACCTAGAGTACACTGCACACCCTCACATTAGCAAATCAGGATGTCAACTGCAACTTCTGCAAGGTTGCTGACTTGCTTAGTTGTCTCATTACTCTCGTAGGTACTTGGTGTTTGGTGAGCCGAAAGGCGGTATTCATAAATCGCGTTCACGTCATATTTGCTTCTCGAGCAATACAACGGTCAAGTGGTTCGACGAACTTGAACGTTGCTCCTGGTCCAGTAGCTTCTGTTCAATTGCGCGTCTGGCTTCCGTATTTTCTGGCTTCAAACTTCATGCGGATTTCACTTTTCTGATTGCGCTGCGGAATTCGACTTGCATTCATTATCAATTTTGTGCATCCTGCAGAATTAGTGCCATTTTTTCGCAGCCTAAGCCCCCTGCGGAATTCATTAACAGGTGGACTAATCCCTCTGATGTCGCGTTTTTTCCACTTAGGAAACTGTGTAAATGTGGTAAAAACTGTGTAAATGGGGTATGCTGTGTAAAACAGCATACCCTTACGCATAGTGGCAAACCAGAGATTTTTTAGAATCAATTCATTTTTAATTCCTCATTTACCTAAGATTTAAACAAATTTCTTATGTATGATAAGGCTGGTATCCAGGATACTTTACTGGTATACTTATGGGACTCAAAAATGAACTTGAGGGAGAGTCTAAAAAACTCTCTGCTTTGCCACTATGCCCTTACGGGCCTTACCTATGCTATAACTTCTTAAGGCCACTTTTGAAATAATTTCCCTCATATGCAAATTTTCGAAAAAGCTGCCAGTGACAGATGTTAGAGCAAAGTGAAAGTCTAAAGGTCAAAAAATAGTTTTCACCAGCAATTTCTTTCTAATCCTAAGCTCCTATTATATCCATATTGATATGCTCACCTGTTCCAATGTACTTTGACTGCAGATGTTCCAATTGTGAATGAATATTATAACGATCGCCCATGATGATTTGTCTTTATAATAAGTAAACACGTTCAAACTGGGTACCTAATCAACACCTACTAATCTGCTTCGAGTTTGAGAGTTACTTGGTTAAGATACGGCGCAGCACCGACGAAGGTATTAGCGCCCCTGAGACTGAGTTTGAGAGAGAAATGAGTAACAACAATTGAGACCGTAATGCTACCGGTTCCGCAAGCGGAAAACATTCAGACAGAAAATATTTGTGTTCAAAAGGATCCGACTGTATAATAACTTAGAGCCAATTTTTGTTTGGTACTTTCTCGCTTAAGATAATTGAAATTTAATATCGGTTACTATTGTTTTAATGATGAATGTTCTGGGTCCAAAAAGACAATTCTTCCGGCAGTTTTCCGAATACAGTCACAATAAAATATTCCTCAAACATTAGAACAAACCAGAACAAATCGCTGAAATTTTGTACACGCTTTCTTCAATCAAAACCGTCAGCTAATGTTTTGCCTGCCTGAAATTTTTTTTAAATTCAGTCGTATATGCCTTACTGCCAAGTGAGCAGTTCATTGACAAGGGATTTTTAGAAAAAAAACCAATGACCTTATTAAATTAAAATTTGACTATATTAAGCATATTTATAGGCCCCTATAACCTGCGAATGAAGTCAAATCTATCAGTACTAGTACGACTACGGCATATTGCAATATACGACATGGGCAATAGGACGACAGGCCGTGGAAATTACCTATGATTCGGTGCTTGGAAATTGTGCTGCATGATCGATGTAAAATATTCGTCACAAAATGTAGTAAATTTGCTATTTGCGGTGCATAGCGCTGCCTACTTGTGCATGTTGGGAGTCGTTTTGTGGTAATTGTTTAGCGTTTTTCGATTGAAGAAAGATTGAAGATTATGAAGCTTCCAAGCCTCAGTTATCGACGTCTGCGTGGGGACCTCATTGAAGTATACAAGTATACTCATGGTCTTAGTCATGAAAAGATCCGGTCAAATGACACGAGTTTAGATCTATGAACAAGGCACGAAAAGGAAAAGAATCGGCGACAGGCCACATCAGGCCAACATTTCAGCGCCGACATCATTATGTTATGTTATGTAATGTTATAACATAAGGACATGGCAGGGTGGCCCAGTGCATGGTTGAACTATATCTATATATACTAGTTCAACCATTGCCCACTGGTTACAGTTCATAGAGGACCATGATTGGCGCAGAGAGGCGCGGGTTCGGTCCCAGGCCCCAGCTCTGTGCGACAGTTTCTGGTCAGAATCGGCGAGGAGGCCGGGCGGACACAACAGAATAAGTAAAAAAAACTAATAATAGAAGAATGCTTACCACAAAAACATAAGCGAGAGTTTGAGCCGGTGACGAGGACTTGATTCCGTACAGTGTTTTCGTTTATTTCGTCTTTATTGTCCGTCTTTATTTAATGTTTAGTCATAGATATACAAATGAACTGCGTCAATTATTATTATTATTATTATTATTATTCCACGAAGAGATTGTCGTGGCGTCTCGTTCGGATCGAACTTCGAGGGCACGTTACAAGTGGCTAAAAAAGACACGAGAGGATAAAAACAGATGACGTCTATGCTAAAACAAAGGACATATGCCAAGACTGACGACGTCTATGCTAGAACAAACAACACCTATGCTAAACCAGTAATATACATGATAGATTAGATGACGGCTAGGTCTAAGATCTGTCTCTTATACACATCTAGATGTGTATAAGAGACAGGTTGGACGCCGCTTCAGCCGCAGCAGCAGGATCATTACGTCTGCTCGCGCGATGGACAGCCCGCTGGAGCAGCCGAACACCACGCTTCGAGGCGCGACATTCGTCGTCAAACCACGGGTCGGAGGCTCGCTGGGGGACACGAACAGTTCGTGCAGGAATGAGGTCGTCGAGTAAAGATGTCAGTTCGATATCGTAATGAATCTATTAAGTCTAATAAATGTTTGCAGAATTGTAGCAGTGAGTTGCAAGTACGAGACCGGAAAATGCTGTGTCTGCGATGCTAAGAATCAGCGAAAGGCCTACGGCCTACTAAACGCTGAAACAGCTATTATTATTATTCATCTGAGCGCGTCTTGGAGTCAACTGTTGCAAACGCAGTGGCTCACGCAAATCGTTTCATTCCGATTGATTGTCACGTCAGATTCCAGTTAATATACGCTGTTTTGCAATTCCACATACATTATTTAATTAAATTGTGTTCAGAAATTAGAAAAAAAACTGCCTAGGCACTGCGGCAATTGGGTCGTCAGGCGTTATACAGTGAGAGATGAGACGAAAAAGAAATAATCGCAAGAATTATAACACAAGCCAAGGACGAGCGAAATTTTTTCCAAATTCATCAGGAAGAATAATTCAAATGTGTTCAGTTAGTTTGTGATATATTCTCTGTTCACTTTACATACTGTACAATGAGCTAGCGGTAGCTCTAAACAATTCTAACAACCAATCTAAAAATATTTTATGTTACCGCTATTCTCCTAAGAATTCTTGTTTGGTTTACTTCACTTTGGCTTTTTGCAAGGAAACTTTGTGTTGCTTGATGAGTCTGAATGTATTTGAATCGAGCTAGAAAATAGCTAAATTTGTATTTTCTTTATTATTGTCGTTGCTAGACGAACGAGAAACGAGAACATGAACAGATAAAATTTAACTGCGACGCGCTAGAGTTAATCTGATTATTCAGAAAAAGCCAACACATCCTATTAATTAGCACAGTTTAATTCAAATTTCATATCCAATATGCGGGAAAATCAAGCTCTGCCCAGGAAAGATAAGCTCACGAACTTGATAGTTCCTTCATCAAATTGGGGGTGCAGTTGCTGGGTGCCAATTTGAATTTTATTAGCACTCAGCCTCAGGATGCATTTGGAGAATGAATATCTACACCCAGCCTCAGAGCTAAGAACGACAAGCTAGCTGCGCTGGAACACCGTAAGGTGCTTGTACACGGGGATAGTGCAGACGGCTAGTAAATCTGGCAAGTGTCGGTCGCTTGGTGACTATCCGGCTAGTAAGCCTGTACACGAGGAGAGTATAAGGTGCCGCTATCTTCTCGCTCGCGCCCGCCAGTGCGTCGTTAGCAGCCGTCGAGTGAGGTCTGTGAAGATGGATCGAGGGAACACCTTCAACAACTCGAGTCTGTACGTCGTTTTTATACTCTTTAATATAGCCCTTAAAAATGCAACGTCGGGAAGAACTAAACCCTGACTAATAATGGCTTCTTTCACTTTTTAAAATACTCGTTTCTCTCTTCATTTTTTTGGAGTAAACAGCATGGCGAACATTCCACATTAATTCATATTTTTAGAATATCCCAAAGAACAATTGAATATCGTTTGGACTCCACTTAGTTGGGTTCTTCTTTGAACTATTACCGTTCAAACAAGCCATGATTCACTTGACCCATGATACTTCACAAGAGCGGCACAGATGCTCTCACAATGGCTGCATCAGCGCTTCTAGCCACTTCTCCAATCTCCAGCGCAGAAACCAACACATCGTTGTCTCACTCGGCCGCGTCTCGGGCACTTGCCGGCGCGGCGGCGCATGCCTCTGAAGCGGCTGAACCCCTATACACGAGGCTAGTAGCGTGGATAGTTCAAGCGGCGGATGAACTAACGGCTAGTACTATCCCTGTGTACAGGCACCTTAATTAGGAACCGTTGGAACACTCGACTATTGTTAGTGAGGGACGCACTGCTTGAAGCCAAAGCAGCCGTAAATCCACTATTTGCATTAATATATGCATCGCCTGTACAGTATACATTCTTGCCCGTTTGCCTCGCCTCATCAACTTCTCACGGCTCATGAGGTTAGGTTCGCTGAGGTTTGCTGTGGAAGAGTCGAAGCGTGAAGCAACGTTGGCAGGTTACGCCAGAGTAGATTAGGTAATTAGATACGGCTATGGCCTTGTTTAACCTGAACACTTAGATACGGCTATGGCCTTGTTTAACCTGAACACTCATGAGCGATGGCTGTGAACATACGGGTTCGTGAATTTAAGCCCTGAACTTCAGAGGAGGCCCTCTCTAATTTACTTCAATAAAGAATTTGTACTAGAGTGTGCACTTTGAAGGCATTTGCCTCTAGTTTGCATCCCAGAACACGATGCGCATTTTATTGGACCCGAATAACACGGGATTAACACCTACATATTTCCAGGAGTTCGACAGGTGAGGTCCGATTGGGTTTCTGTAGAACAGAAAAGGCGCAAAATGGTGTCGTTTTTAATTCAATGAAGTGAAACTAGCTCATAAGTCATACCTCATAAAGAAGAAAGCAGCTGATGTTGCTAACATGGAATGCACTTTAAAACTTTTCAAGCACATCGGCGATTAGAGAAGAATGGAGTGCTGACTTGCAGTTTGAAGCCCGAATCTGTTGGTCATTTGGAAGACCGTTCGCGGTAATTTCCGATTTGTGATAGCCATACGGCACGAGGGAGCGCAGCCGTGGGTAACAAAATTGACTCGTAAACAGGCCCTGGGCCCAACGCCAACCATCAGCATGCAATATCTACACATAGCCTCAGATCAATGAGCTGTGGGTAACTCCGGCTAACAGTAAATCCGCTTTGCACAACACAGCCACTGCTCCACAACGCCGGAGCACAACTGGCCGGAGCGCAACAGGCCCTACCGCAACAGGCGGCGCAGGTTAGGTTACGTTAGGAGTAGCTGTTGCGGTAGGGCCTGTTGCGCTCCGGCCAGTTGTGCTCCGGCCTGTATGCGCTCCGGCCTGTGACTGAACGGCGCTGTTGTGGTGGGCGCTTTGTGTCAAAAGCCGTGAAGATGCCCGGCTGCGTTACGCTCGGGAAGGTATATGAATCGCACTGTGGACTCGGGCTATGCTGACCTCTAGCTATCCACCCCTGCACGATTGGAGCCACACTTGCTTGTTCGAGATCAAGCTACGGTAGCTGTTAAAATTTTGCGAATACTAATCTTCAACGAAACCGCTATATTACATGTCTGAGTCTGACTCGCCATCATGTTGCTCATATTGTTTAAAACTATTTTTAAACTTTTGCTTGCACTTGCTTAATACTTAAGTATGACCTATAGCCCAATCAGTCAGTTGCCTGCCTAAACTAACTCTTAGGTGCGTAATCAGGCGCATAAAAAAAATATGTGGGGTGCGCAGCCGTAGAGCACAGCAAATTAACTCGCAAATAAGCCCTTTAGCCAACATCAACCATCCAAATGCCATAGATATTGTCATCCCGCACCTAAGCAGCTGTAGTCAATTGTTCCATCTCACCACACGAACTTTTAAACCAACACGCATCGTTGAAGCTCCGAGTATGAACATCTTCAAAACAGACTAGACGAAGCTATGCAGGAGCGTATGTTCAGTCTTAAAATGCCTAGCAAATTACGGATCAGGCAATAAGTCTAGCAGCTATCTCAATCAATCGTCAGCTATAGAAAGATCGGGTTCCAAAGGCCGGATCCCTTGTGAATCAAGTCACGAAAAGTTCAAGAATCGGCAACAGGCCATGGGCCTATTTCTTCAACGCCGACACTTCTATTCTATTCTATTCTAACACTGCTTCAGCTCACAAACTGCTACTGTGCCCCATAATCATCATTAATCACTATCCACTTTTTCAACCAGATAATCATAATTTCACGCAGGATATCCCGTTCGTTCGGAAAGGACATGAATCCTGTTTAAAAAGTTGCGGGAAGTACGTTAAAATAGTGTGGCAGCCTGCAAGACTCCAAAATTCTTAACAATGCCGGGACTTGGCGTCAACGAAGATTTGGGCGATGAAATCAAATTTTTGTCAGCCCAATTATTATTGTGAGTTTAAAATAACTTAGAAGTTTGATTAGGATCTGCTTGAACGATCATTTGAAATTGAGCTGAAGTCAATGCCACATTCCCACTCTGCACTCGAGTGACGAGTCTCGACTATATATGTTATAATGTTAAGTTGCTGGTCTGCCTGAGTGCCTGGTAGGCTGGTCACAATTATTATATATCAACAATATATTTTAGTGTTTATCTTATCTAATATGTAGAATCTATTCTTTTTATGTACATATTGATAGCGTAGAAATTTCTATGTGGTTACTGCCTGGTTAGTAACATAGTAAATGTACAAAATTCATTTTTTACTTCTGTTTCAAATATTGTGATTGGGTTATACCTACATACTGTTTTTACTTAGATCTTAAGAATGCTTAAAGACTTAGACTAGAGTAGCAGCAAGTTGAATACAGTTTCTGGAGTCAGGAATTTCTACATTCTTCATGCAGCCAGAGCCAAGTGCCAAAGTGGAAAATGGCACAGAACGCAGAAGGCAGAACTGCACGGTCTGCACCCACAGCCACAGACCACAGTCTCATAGTCTCATAGAAGCCTTTAGCCTTCCAGGCTTCCACAATTGAGACAAATTACAAAAATGCCCACTCAACACTTGTGAGACATTCTGCAAAAAAAAAAAAAAGCATTTGCCCTTCCTAGGTATTTGGAAATTGGAATATTGGATAGGTATAATATTCCACAAAATTGTACATCAAAATTAATGTTTTATAATTAATTTTTGAAGATCACAGGTAAAATTCTACCTACATTTTTTCTCATTGTTTTTAAAAAATTATTTAAGTGCATAAAGATAGGTAAAATTAACTATAATTATGGACATTTTTATCTCAATCTGACCAATTTATATATTTTTGCCTCTATATTTTTTATATTATGTCAATACTAATGTGAAATTGTGAATGTAATCAATTCTCCAACTTGCTCCAGGTGGGATTTTCAATTATTCTCTTTTTGTATTTCTGTTTGTCCATGCCTGCTGTTGTGAAATATATCTACTTTTTGAGGCTTTGAGCCATGACCAGAGCTTTTCTGCCATTTTCAGAGCTGACAGAGTCTTATGACTGAAATTATGAGATCAATAGCCTTCTATCTAATTGGTAACTAAAGTGCACAATCAGGCTGTGAGATTCCAAATGTGTAAAAAATTTGTCACTTTGGAGCATTAAATTGCAGTGATAAGTAGAAAATTTTCAATCCTTTATGTCTGCTTTGCACCACTTAATTAGTCATTATTGTAATCAATATTCAATCATATTGTCTACAAATTTTAAGTTTAAGATTTTATAATTTACCAGTTACATTCTGTTAAGGATTTAACTGAATTTTTTTATTTCTATAATGCAGATTAACAACTTCCTCTGGAATTACTGAATGCAGCTCCAGTCAGTCCAGTGGCACTTTGCGAGGACACAATCTGCTGTTGACTGTCCAGCCATGCCCTTCATTTTTAAGTCTTCATGATGGTGTTGCTTGTCAATTCAATCCCACTGCTAGTAATTTCTTGAACAGTTCACCAGATTCCATGATCCTGGTCCAACCTTATCATCATGTAAGTGACTATGTGTTGAATTATAAAATTAATTTTTTTATCAAAGTCGTGTGAATCTCTTGTCAAGTCATGCCATTTACTAGTATACTTGCAGTTAATTTATAAATTATTCACTTACACTGCCATAAAATGAATAGGATAGGAAAGCTAGTTTATGAATGATTAATTGAATGATCCCTCATTTTTCTTGAAACCAGTTCTTGCTTACAGATCAAGGAATATCAAGTTTCACCCTTGGACTTGGAACAAAATTATGCTCAGGCTCCAAAAAAGTCTCAAAACTCTCCCACAGGTGTGTAGCATGTACCATGTATGACTTATCTGTAATTAGTCCAATTCTATACCTGAATTATACAAGATATTGTTACTTTAGGAATTTTCATAACATTTCAAGTTTTTATCTTTTATATCTCTGTAAGATGATCTGGCTTTTGCATGTTTAACTTCATTTTAATTATTCACAACACTAATTGTATCTTGGTTAAAATTACAATTACTTATTCAATCTCCCAGATCTAAATGTGACGGGATCTCCACTTAAGGATCATTTTACTGATAGACTGAACTCTGAGCCTCTACCATCACCATTCTTAATTCAGGCCCCTGAGAAGCAGCCTGGCCATAGTTTTAAAGTCACCACTTTCAAAGGCCCTGCTTTTAATGCCAGCACTGCACAGTGAGTTTCCTACTGCTTCTAGCTCCACCAAGTTAATCATATTTGAGAAATTATTTAGCCTAGTCATAGTCATTAAATTATCTAGGTACTTCCTTGGCTGGTTGCTCATGTCTATTTCAGTCAGTATAGTTAGTATAGGATGGAGGATTAGCCTTATAAGTAGTGATGAAAGCATTATTGTACAAAGCAAATGTGCCTTCCTTCATTTTTTGAGATGCAGTGATGCTGTTGCTGCACTGAAATGTGTTAATTCATGGGCACCAAATATAAGCTAAATAATATTCATGTGATGGCTAGCTGTTGTCATTGCTTACATTGAATAACTTGTTTATAAAATTATTAATAAATAACAAGTGGAATTATGGAAAATAAGTGCAGAAAAATGTAGGTAGTGTCAGGGCAGCTGTCTTAGACAATGAAGAGCATTAGCTTGCCATAGCATTATATCTTGCCTGTTGACGAATCATTTAAAGGAACAATATTCATCCTAGATTATTCATGATTGACTGTAATGCATAATGATTTCTATCTTGTATTAAATTCATGGCTTAGTTCATGAGATTGTATTTAGCTCATTCCCTGTTGAACCAAATATATATGTTTTTTTACATAGAAATGCATTCAATGGTTTTGATGAGCTTTTTCTAGGATGTGTGATCTTTCATTTAACATTTATGTTCATAATGGTATATGTTTATTTACTTAGGGTTTTTGCATCTTCTTCTAATGCACACATTCTTTTCAGCTCATTGTGGTGTGACTTGAACCCATTGGTAAGGAAGTTAGCTGCAACTCAACCACTACTGCCTGTGTTTATTCTTGCTTCTGCTGAAGAGTCTCAGGTTAGTACAATACATGGTGTGTGAAATTCTGTGAATTGTTGTACATGCATAAAATATCGTTCTGCTTGGGGCAATAACAAAATCCAAAAATATTAAATGTTCATAATGGGAAGACAGTTTTCAGTCATCTATTCCAATATAAAATGTGAACAGCTCACATGATAATCTTTTCCGCTTCCACTTTGAATACAAGTAATTGTTAAGAAAATACATGCATGTTCAATTATTCTTATTATTTAAATTGTTCATGAAAAAGTTTATTGAGTGTTGAAAATTTTTCATATTTCTAATTCCTTTCTACCACAATTTAGTTTAGTGGCTGAATTGTTTTGATGCCAAAATTCCATCAAATTGAATTGATGGAGCAACCAACCACTTTCAATTTATTCAATTGGTAATCTATTACCATTTTTAGCACATTTTCTCATGTATGGAAAAAATTCCCTATTGTGCTCATCATGTCCATCTGTCTGTCCATCCGTCCGTCCGTCTGTCCATGACTTCATGTTTTTGTCAACGAGAAAATGCGCTCTCTGTCACTCACTGCAGTGAGTACTGAGTTATAATATATAAATATTTTTTCCTAAGCTTCGCTGCTCTCCTTTCCAAATCTATAATTATGGAGATGTGAAGAGTTACATATTATGTCTAGAAATTGCCTCTTTTTTTTTGCAATTTGTTTCTAAGCGGCATCTCTATTGGGCCACTTATGTTGGAACTATTTTTATTTCTAATTGATGTTTCAGGCTGAGCAAACACGGGCTTTATTGTACGGCTGCGGGCCATTCTTCAATGAGGGTCGAGATGAGTGGCTCACGACCATCAAAACTAAAAGGCCTGTGTTGGCCAATCGCCTCCCGCAGTTGGACGCTTTACAGCAGCAATGCTGTGGTCCTCTCTTCAATGCCTATGTTGGTTCTGGTAGTATTATAATGCATGCGTTTTGTTTTGGGCTATGAATATTATTGTAGAACTGATGTTTCTGCTCAGTGGCATGATCTTAGTATTGTTTTTCTTACATTTGGTGATTTCGTCATGAATAATTAGTTAAGAGGGTCAATTATTCCTGTGAATCTAATTTATTAGCGCTATAGTAATATGTTTATTTCTGTATATCTTTGTATTATCTAATGTTTAACTCGTGCCGTCTTATGCTACATGGTTGATAAACTTACTGGTAGGGTTGATTCTGTCAAAATTCTGTCATTCCATGTATTCAATTGTCACTGTTACAAGTTTTAATAATTATCATTATTTTGAAGCATGATTTATTTCAGGTTGACAGCTATGCAACTGCATTCTACGAAATTGTGGTGGACAATCAAACAAACATTGCTGGCAACTGCGAGAAAGACCAGTCAAAAAAATGTACAAAGAACGTTCTGGCCATAAAACAGTTATTTAATGATAAAAATTTGTGTGCACTTAGTTTTTCTCCCAATTTGGCGTACAACTTTTTCATGCTAGAAAATTGTGTGATAATAATTGAAACATTTTTGGAATCAATTTATATTCTTGACATTTTCACTTCCCTGAACCTGTGTTTTTTTCAAAATTACCCATTTCATATTTAAATAAATTAATAATTTATTTACTAATTTCTCAAACTTTTCGATTCTCTAATATCAAACTTTTAATATCACTGAATAAGTTATAGAATACTCATTCTTGCACTGATTGTAGCGAGTGATGGTGGCTGTACGGTGCTGACGGTTGAGTGCAACTGGCCGCGCCCCACGGCTGTGATGAGCCAGCCGCCTTCAGACGCACGAGCTTCTGTCGTGAGACGAGATACTTTTAGCTCTTTGCCTACTAATTCTTTGATGGCTGATCAGTTTAGAGCTTGATGTGCAAAAATTATTCATTGTAGAAAAGTATTATAAAAACTATTTTCAGAAGTGAAATAATCCTTTTCTCTTTTAAGAAAACCTCGTGTCAAGTTTATCAGAACAGGTGTTTAGCTAATAATCTTGCCACTCATTAGTCCGGCATTGCATTGGATGATATGAGCGTTCAAGCAATATTATCGCAAATTGATGAACCACCGAGATACGTTTTTTCATTTATAGTTATTGTTTCTAGTACCGAACCATTCTGATGTGGCATGTTGTTTTAGCGCTGGAGCACTTCTGCTCATATATTGTGCATAGGAGATTTGGTCACCTTACCACGCGATAACCAAAACAATGGTGACTGAAGTACAATTAATGAACGGTTTCATTTTATGTTGATTATGCTCAAGAATATAAACAAATTAAATTGAAGTATTGAAGCTGTACTTTCAAAGTAGAAACATATCCGTGTGTGCTGTGTCATTACCAATCAATATTTGTAATGATCACCCTCACAGGAAACATCTTAGTCAAACTCTGAACCGGCTAAATAATTAAAGAAAAGGTCGCGCTTAAAAATGACAGGAATTTGAATACAGTAATAGCCAACAAAGCTTCGTAATAAATTGAGCAGGAAAATTGATTTATACAGTTGGAATGGCAATTCGTGGATCCATACTACCGCAGCCTCGTGCCACAAGGAATAACATGCATGTCGGAAAACGCGAGATTTTGTTGAATGAATGTAAACGAAATGAAGCGAATCCGAGAAGTATAATTTAAGTAATGAAAAAATGAACGAGATTTCTTTGTGAAAAGAATAAAATTGGTTCGATTCTTCTCGAAAGTTACCAGTGTAATAATATAGGCTACGATGAGCTCAATGAGCATAAATGCAAGGGTTAGGAAGTAGATGGACAACTTTAACAATTTATTGAAAAGTTGTTCGAAACAGGTCCGGTCTTCCACTGCTTTTGATGGATTTATGTGACCAATTGTTCTAATATATTTGGTATTGATAACCACACCCGAACAACATTGATAAAGCAGGTCCAATATGCTCTCGAGATTATTGGTTACTGAATTAACGCAATCATTAATTACTCAATCCTACAAGGTAGTGGAGTAAGTAGTACATGGGAACTACAATTATCTATTACATATTATATCACCACTTACGTTTTGTCAGTAAAATAATGAAGAACCCGGAATTTCTCAGACCGTGCACGTTGAGAAGATGAGCAGCTGTGGGGGCCCCGCGTGCAGGGATCTGCGTCTTCTGAGCGCCGCGGTCTCGGGGCTGAGCTCGCGTCAGGTGCCGTGGTTCGTGAGGTCTGCTGACCAGCCCAGCACAATGGAGAAGCTAAATGAGCTATTCCTGCAGTACACCACTTCAGGTACTTTATTGCGTCATCATTTCGTTCTTAACTTGATCAGATTTGTGCAAGAGCTCAATGAGCTATTCCTGCAGTACACCACTTTAGGTGCTTTATTGCGTCATCATCTAGTACTTAGCTTGGCCAGATTCCTGCTATTGTTGCAGTACACCACTTTAGGTACTTCATTGCGTCATCATTCAGTTCTTAGCTTGGCCTGATTCTTGCAAGAGCTCAATGGGCTATTCCTGCAGTACACCACTTTATCTACTTTTTTACGTCATTATTTAGTTGCTTGCCGTACATTTTGTTCAACAGAACTCATCCATTGATTTTGATATTTAGCTGTGCACTAATTTATATGAAGCATCGAATGCATTTGTTTGCAAAAGTCAGTTCACACGAGTGTAAGTGTTAAAAATTTGCGATCCTAAGGTCCCGATGCCAAAAAAGCTGACAGCGGTGCTGCTCTGGGCTTTGATGACGTCATTGCCGGGAAGCTGAGCAGCCTTCACTGCAGTTTCTTGGATGCACTCTGGGTCGTCCTGTGCGGTGAGATCTCATATTCTATGCACAAATTTCACGATTTATTTGCTTGATTTGTTTTGAAGTTCAGTTCTCCGTTTGCTATTGTTTGTTCTTGCTTTCAAGCTAATTCAGCAATGAATTCCTATAAGATTTACGACATACAAGTTTGAGAAACAGCGAATCAGTTGACATACTGTCTTAACAATTGATGTTTTAGAGCTGCAGGAGGTTGATAGTGGTCAAGGGCTAGAAAGAAGAAAGGAATTTTGTGAATGAGTCCGGTGATTAGGTTGAAGGAGGGAGGTTTAAAACATGTAACCGTTATTCTGTGGTGGCAGAGAGCGAGTCGCTGCGTGACCTGAGGGCGGGACTGCAGCAAGTCTTCAGCGCTGTTGCTACGAACCACATTCGTCCGCAGATCCATGTCCGCAATAACACTAAAGTAAGAGAGATAATTTATTGATAAATAAATGCACCATCTGCCACCGCCGTACTGGTGTCAGTAGTATGTGGTTGCAGGTTGGAATTCTTGAGGGTAAATAAATTAATCAGTACACAGCATATTATACACAATCCAATCACAGTCTGGAGAATATGACATCACAACCCCACAACCAATCACAGTCTGGAGAATATGACATCACAACCCCACAACCAATCACAGTCTGGAGTGGATGACGTAACAACCAATCACAGTCTGTAGATGAACACGCATGTGCCCTAAAAAGACAGAAGCTTTAAGCACTACCGTATTCTTTGTTTGACTTAGCTTTAAGCACTACACTAGTCAAAATCTCCTATCTTCATTGCTGTTTAACTAAATAGACGCAGCTCTTCGTATATCAACAGTACTTAAAATTGAGATTTTATTTGGCTGTTTTTTTATTTATATAATTTTTTGAAAATGTCTCATATAGTCCTGTGCAATTTATATTCCAGTTTTTATTGTATTTTTATTAGTACATCATTTGAGGTAATATAGCTCTCAGTTTTCTTCATCGCATTCTTTTATTATTTTGTTCATTTTGTCAGTCACAAAAAAAAATATTCCTGCTTATCTTGTGTTGATATTCAAGACATTTGTAATTGAGGTAATTAAACATTGTTCTTTACTTGAATGAAAGTATCGATACTCGTACGCCTTTCGGTAATGAGCGTTTGTTGACGTGTGAAGGTTGGCGTGATCTGCCGTGGACTTATGCGTGGGCAGCTCACCGAGCCAGAGTTGAATGGCTTGGAACCTTTGGAGATGCTTGTTCAGCTTGGAATTGGCAAAATAAAAACTCAACTCTCAGCAATACTGCAAGGTGAGTCTTGGGCGTGTCAATACTTGAATCCTATCCTTGGATTTGATGCTCTTCCAGGCTTCATCTGTATTGCATTTGCAATCATCTTAGAGAAAATTCCCGCTGTGTAATGTTATTATCTGTGAAGGAATAAAATATCATTCTGGGACAGGAATAAGCTTGTGATTTGTAATATTTGTGGTTGGCTTCAAAGATTGGTTATCACACAGCTAGTGAGCTAGCAACAGGAGAACAACTGTCGTCCTTGTTGTCGAACTGCAGTACGGGTGAGGACGACAGACCAGCGTATGTACAAAGTCTTGAGTGTCTGCATCGTCTGCACGTCACGCTACACGTCGTCTCGTGCCTCAGAACACACCTGCGCTTACTGCCTGCTTCTCTTGTTGAACACACTCAGCGGGTCTGTTGAACCTCTTGCTTAATCTTGAACTATTTTTTTGTTGATGTATGCAAGGGTGTGGTGATTTATTCATGCCTCGACGTGTTTGAAAAGTTCTAGAAAGCCGTTCATCAATTGAAAAGTCTTGATGTCGGCCGTGCAAACTACTATAATATTTTCTTAAAGGGAAGAAGCAGGGATAAATGAACTGTATAAATTGTTACCGACTGTGACTGCTCATTTAAAAAATTTTGAAATGCATAATATACGTTTTTGAGATTCTTGTGAAGATTGAAATATGTACGCCATCATTACTGCAAACGACTATTTACATTAATTTTTGTTTGAAGTTTCTCAATACTTGAGAAGCAAATTATTACAAGGATAATTTTCTGGATAACATGTGCGGTTATCACCTTTAAACTTCCTATTGCATCATTAATGTCGCAAAGACTTGTTATTTGACATTATTATTATAAAATTTATTGACGCGATGTTTATGAATAGCTTGTGTAAGTGATCAGTAAATGAATTTGACGTCCTAAATAACTTCCTTTAAGAACTAACAATTAGTTTCCAGCTAAGCTTCGTACATATATTTTTTTAGTCTGTTAGTTCATAGCATTTGAGTTACAATCATGGTTTCTTTATAACCACGAGCACGACGCCAGTACAACAATACCACATTTAATTTGTAATTTTACCACCTTTACTTCGCCCAGAATAATCATTCAAATTTGTCACAAGCAGATACTTGACGAGCTGCAGGGTGACAGCTCGCTGACTTCCGACCAGCCTTACTCGTTCAGCTTCAGCATCCTGGCCTCGTCCATGAAAGAGCTTTTAGGCAGGTCAGTGCAGGTCTCTGTGTCGTGATGTTAGTGTTACAAAACAATTGTGGACAGGTCAGTGCAGGTCTCAGTGTCGTGATATTCGTGTTACAGAACAATTGTGGACAGGTTAGTGCAGGTCTCTGTGTCGTGATGTTCGTGTTACAGAACAATTGTGGACAGGTCAGTGCAGGTCTCAGTGTCGTGATATTCGTGTTACAAAACAATTGTTTGTGGGCAGGTCAGTGCAGGTCTCTGTGTCGTGATGTTCGTGTTACAAAACAATTGTTTGTGGACAGGTCAGTGCAGGTCTCTGTGTCGTGATATTCGTGTTACAAAACAATTGTTTGTGGACAGGTCAGTGCAGGTCTCTGTGTCGTGATGTTCGTGTTACAAAACAATTGTTTGTGGACAGGTTAGTGCAGGTCTCTGTGTCGTGATGTTCGTGTTACAGAACAATTGTGGACAGGTTAGTGCAGGTCCAAGTGTCGTGATATTCGTGTTACAAAACAATTGTTTGTGGACAGGTTAGTGCATGTCTCAGCATCATGATATTCGTGTTACGAAAAAATTATTGTGGACAGGTTAGCAAATGCCTCAATGTACTCGCAGTTTTTTGTGTGTGTGGGTTAGTTATTGTTCTTGTAGTTATTGTTCAAGTGTTCAGTAATTGAACATTTTGAACACTTTGCTTAAGATAATTTCGATGAATTTATCTGCTGTCCAACCTGCCCGTTGTCAACCGGTATATTTTTAGTTTTATTCAGGCAGTGGGTGTTTATGTAATCTTTTCCCATGTCAAGTGTAATATTTCAGAAAGTTCATGAGTATTAATTTTGATTTTGAATTCAATGAAAAGTAGTTAAATTAACTATTACGGTGCTTCCCTGGAGTATGAACAAAAAGTTGATTTCATGACGTTCTTACATTCCTAGTATTTGACGCAGTTACATTCTTTGGAAAGTTATCATTTATAAATAAAATATATTCTTTCCCAAATCCGAACTAGTGTCGAGTTAACTAATTACCGTTAAAGTGTTTTATATTGCGTCGATGTTGACAGTTGAAGCCATGCCATTAATGTGTTATTATATTGCCTTTTCCATTAGAATACCTATGAACTTTTCCATGGCTTTAACCGATGTTGACAGTTAAAGCCATGTCATTAATGTGTTATTATATTGCCTTTTCCATTAGAATACCTATGAACTTTTCCATGGCTTTAACCGATGTTGACAGTTAAAGCCATGTCATTAATGTGTTATTATATTGCCTTTTCCATTAGAATACCTATGAACTTTTCCATGGCTTTAACCGATGTTGACAGTTNGGGGGAAGAGATTCACCGCATTCTTGCGGAATCTCTTCTGTCTCTGTTGCAGGCCACGCTGCGGGAGCGACGGTGGCCGGTGAATGGTAGCACCCAATTCTTGAGGAGTTGGGGCGCTGCCTTCACCTGGCTACTGATTTGCTCTTGGGGGAAGGGAGTTAGGGGGGGGGGTCCTTCGGGACCCAAAAAATAAAGCATCCTACCTGCTGGAGAGCTGGCTCGGAAGACTTTCCGTGCCTCATTTCTAGTCTTTTTGAAAGCTCCAGTGCTAGCTTTCCTGCCTTTTTTGGAGTTGCATAATTCTCGCTAGATGATTTATTGTTGACAGAAAACACAATCAAGCTGTGAGTTTCAAAAAAAAGTTCAAGTTGTCTTGGTATTGAGACATTACAGTAACTAGCAGGAATTTTTCGATATTGGCTGGGGCAAGATCTGCCTCGAGACGCGGCCTGTCTGGTGGATAGCTAGAGGTCAGCATAGCCCAAGTCCACAGTGCGATTCATATACCTTCCCGTGCGTAACGCAGCCGGGCATCTTCACGGCGTTTGACACAAAGCGCCCACCACAACAGCGCCGTTCAGCCACAGGCCTGGTTCAACAGCGCCGGAGCACAACTGGCCGGGGCGCAACAGGCCCTACCGCAACAGCTACTCCTAACGTAACCTAACCTAACCTGCGCCTGTTGCGGTAGGGCCTGTTGCGCTCCGGCCAGTTGTGCTGCGGCGCTGTGGAGCAGTGGCTGTGTTGTGCAAAGCGGATTTACTGTTAGCAGTAGTTACCCACAGCTCATTGGTCTGAGGCTATGTGTAGATATTGCATGCTGATGGTGATGGTTGGCATTAGGCCCAGGGCCTGTTTACGAGTCAATTTTGTTACCCACGGCTGCGCTCCCTGGATGTTCGAGAAAAAACTCAATTCCAAACCGTGAATTTTTCGCGTTTTTTATTTTTTTCTAAATTTTTTTTTTTTTCAAAATTATTATTCCTGATGATCAAATCTTGAATTGTTAGGCAGCATAAGCATGCATGCGAAATTTGAAGTTTCTAGGATGTTCAGAAGAGCTCTAAATTAAGGTCTGAATTTTTGATGAGACAGACGCGAAACGAAGTCAAGAAAAACGTGGTAATATTGACGCACTCGCTTACTCACAGCAAGCGCAGAGAGCGTACGTAGCGCCAATAGAGTACGTTTGCTCAGTTAAACTGGGTCAAGATGACCCACGCAGGGGCAAAAAGTGCAATGCTATTTGGACACTGACCCCATTCTTTCTCTGAGTGTCAGTGTCTACACCAACTCGATCGCTCTGGTACTTATTTATTAACTTGGGGCCTTTCAGTAAGGTCTCGGACAAATTGACGGCCGGTCTCGCGGCCGGAAAGGTTTTCTTAGTGTTTTTATCGGTTTTCTAGGTTTTTTTTGTGTTTTTAATGGAACCTGTTCCTAACTGGACCTAACCTGCGAGGTTTTCGTTGATTGGCTAGGTTTTTTTCTATGTTTGGAGTCCTGCGGCCGCGGGTCCGGCCGTAAATTTGTCCGAGTCGTCTTTCAGTAGAACACCTAGTAACTAGGTAAATTCAGTAAATCCAGAATTATACTACTAGTTCCCACTAAATTTGACTTTAAAATGAATTTGATATCCACAAACATTATTGTACGATAGTCATTTTTTGTAATTGTCTGATATGTCTTATCTGATGTGTCTCTCTTATCTCATCAAATCGCCTGACAATAAAAGTACTCTAGTGAAAGAGTACATCAGCAATAGTACACGAAGGAGGTTGGTATAAAACACTGCTCTAAATTTAAAATTATACTGATACTACATACATCACTACACAACACTATAAACACACTGTAAAACACTTAGCATTTTGCTAAGTTACCGTAGGCCAAGAGTAAGGATTTAAAATTTCCACCGTTTCGACAACTTCTTATAAGATTGATAGATGTATCTGAAATACAAATCTGAATGTATCTGAAGAATAAAATAAACTCTGGATAAATAATAATCTATGAAATATATGAAAATATGATACATGTATAAACAAATACAAGATAAAACAAGAAATGGTAAACGCACGGAAATATTCTGGGCACTTTGAAGCAGTCTACAAACAATTGATTAAGCTCAAAATCTTTGTCGCAAAGTCAGCTATTATGACGCACTTTGGGTCAGACTTGCATGGAAATTATTAGAGTACTTAAAAATAAACTAGATAGAAAAATGAGGTTAACTAAAAATATTAACACATATCATAACCGGAAAAAATTGTCTGTTACTAAAGCTATAGTTGCGGCAGTAGATTCTTACCATTGACTTTTTATTTCACACGTAACACTTCATCTTGACGAAAATATTGAAATCCATCACTTTCATGTTGAGATTAATTATTAACGTTGATCCGGTGCCGGCCTGGTGCTACACTTCACTGCTGTTAGTACGGCCGTATTTTTAGCACATTTTCTCATTTATGGAAAAAAGGCGCTATTGTGCTCGTCATGTCCGTCCGTGACTTAACCTGTCCGTCCGCGACTCCACGGACGGACGGACGGACGGACAAGAAAATGCGCTCTCTGTTACTCACTGCAGTGAGTACTGAGTTATATTTTTTATACGATTGCATACCAGCAGCCGTACTTATTGCGCTGCCGCGTGTTGATATTTCTATGGTCTCATACCGTAGTCAGACTTCCATCAATAACCCGTAGTGCTCCAGAACAACTTTTTGTGCTACGTTACGGTATGCTACGTTACGTTAGGATTCTTGGATAAAACTCCTGAATAGTTTTCAAATGTGTTTTTTTTTTTTGTAAAGTATCCAGATTTTAATCTGTAACCAACGGTAAATTGGCATATGTCATATTTGGTTGCTGAAACTTGATTGAAGGATTGAAATCGCGCGTGAATTATTGAAATCAAAAATCATGAGCAGCATGAGTGATGAGCAGCAGGAGTGATGAGCAGCATGAGTGATGAGCAGCATGAGTGATGAGGTATGCTGCACCACATGAGTGATGAGGTATGCTGCACCACATGAGTGATGAAGTATGCTGCACCACATGAGTGATGAAGTATGCTGCACCACATGAGTGATGAAGTATGCTGCACCACATGAGTGATGAGGTATGCTGCACCACATGAGTGATGAAGTATGCTGCACCACATGAGTGATGAGGTATGCTGTCCATGTATCCAGGCTGACCAGCGCTGCACGCACCAGCAGGCCCTGGAGCTTCTCGTCACCGCCGCCCCGCTGCTGAAGATCCTGCCTCAGCACGACAGTGAGACGCGCTTATTTCTTATACTTAATCACCTTAACGCTATTACCTTCATTTATTTTTAATTTCAAGCAATTTTTATGAAAATGGGAACTTTCAGTTTGTAAATGTTAGCATTGATGGTAAAGACCTTCTATGAAAATGGGAAGTTTTAATTTTTAAATGGTCTTAGCATATTGAATTTTAAATTTTATGTTATTCAGCGTCATTTATTGACTGAGCCAATTTTGCCATTATTTGTTTTTGTTATAGTTAGACTTGCAAAGCTTATGCATATGTATTAATTTTCTTGGGTTTGAACTATTTATATTCATTCTTATCGTTAGGCTTCCTCAGATAAATAAAAGAATGGATATTCGTTGGCCTGTGATTCGTTACCAAACCTTTTTTTTTGCAATTGATCTTTATGTTTAATTGCTAAATTTTTGTCAGTAGCGCCCAACATGGATTACTTATCCACATAAACAATCTTTTTATTTCGTGTACTGATTTTCTAATTTCTAATATTGTGAAAACCCGTTCATCTATAATTGAATTTCTCAAGTATTTTTAATGTTTTAAATTTTTAGCCACCAAAAAGCGTTGCGTTTGCAGATTTCGCAGACCTGTCGCTGGTAGAGGAGCGAGCGGACGACGCGCGTCCTACGTATCACTGCACGACTGTCAGCTCCGTATTGGATTCCATGCTCTACTGATACATTCATTTCCTTGTCTAGTTATCTTATGTTCTAGGGGTTAAATATGTAAAATTAAACCCAGGTATTTGCTGGTCATTGCGTCAATGCAGTTCTATTTTTGTGATTTACAAAATTGTTTTCTCTAGATTCGATTTAAAAGCTTGCATTTGGATACATCTTAAATATTGTTCTCTGCATTAATTTTAGCTGCAATGAACCGTAAAAGGAAATAAATAACTTTTTCGGACATTGAAAACAACGTTTCTAACTAAGATCATTATGCATTTAAGCACGTGCTCGTGAATATTATGCAAGGCAGACTATTTTTTCCCGTCATTTTCGCTGGACCTTCAAAAGTTACAGAAACAATCGACCATGGACCATTTTTGGACTGCTATCTTGAGCCTCAACTTGCTGCCTAACCGCACTCAAACCTGTGGAAGACATATACTTGATTTAAATCTACATCACTGCCATTTCATCCCAAGCATCATACTACTACCGATTAGACATGATCTTCATACTTATAATAAACAACCGTGATAGTTATGTTCATTCAAGAGTCCAGGAGGCAAGTAATCTAGAACTTCCTTTGACCTATAAATTCAACAACGTTCGTTTTTAACTAATTCAGTCCAGTGGTAAGGGTGATATCCTGATCATTTTATTCTATTGTGCTACATTAGCCAAATGACGTTTTTCTAATATGTTGTTGTTAGTAGTTAACAAATAATGCCTTTGAAATCCCATGAGTGGTCTAAGGATGATTTCTTCGTCTACTCATTCTCTACTGAAGAGGTTACTCTTCAGCATCGGAGAGTCTCTGGAATTTATTTATACGTTAAGATTCATTACAATCTACAGTCGCGTTGACCATGTCTGCAGGCCCGGCAGCTCACTTCATTTACTGGTTTGTAAATTTCTGGGCTCAACTGTGGCTGATGGAGTAGAGGTAGAATTTGCCTCTTCCCCTGTATAAAGTAGACTTGCAGCCATCAACAGCGCCGCGCTTGGCACTGACGTTCTACTTCTTGAGGATTTGTCTTTGTTAAGGCAAAGGAATCTGTTTGTAGTCCTTCTGTAAAATTTTGCTAGTTAATTTGCTTAGTGCTTAGTCATACTCGGATCTATTGAACATATTTTTAGTCAAATATCTGCTTCAAATTTTTTAATTCTACAACCGGCCGATGGGTGGGTATAAATTTATTAAAACTCATCGCCATGAAATGGACTTTTCTTTGCAATCAACCCAAGTTCACTTGTTTTCATGACTTCCATGTCGTAGTATCCGCTAACAGGAGTCTCAAGAATCAACTCGAGGTCGAACTAATATTCGCTTGTTTTCTCTTCCATGAGTCACGGAGACACATGTTGGGCCCAGCTACGAGCTGTAAGCAGCTAGAGTAAGAAGAAAAAGCACCTTCCCCCTGAAAATTTGGCGCTCTTTTTAAGCATCAGATTCATCAATAGTCGTGTGGGGAGTTATCTCATGGCTCATCCGATATTAGGTTTCTGCTCTTAGGAGATGCATGCACTTGGTACATTTTAGAAGTGATGAAATTTGCTGGCGGGCTATCGGCACTATGGCTGGAATTCACAGTACGAAGCAATTTCCTCTGCATTTTAACTGACATTGTAAGAGGATAAAAGTTAGATCGTTGAAGCCCTTGAAATTATCTTCCGGAACTCTCTTGTTTTATTGACTTATGACGTTTATGAGAAGTTAGTTTGTATCTCAAAATGAACGAACTTATATTTCCATTCGAATCTGTTCCTCGCTTAGTACCAATTGGTTTTAACCTTATTACTCGTTGGTATTCGTGAATGAAGTTATACGATAGTACTTCCACATTTCTTAAATGTGATGATTTAATCTAATGGTCTCAAATAACATTAATTTGATCACATGAACAGAATTTATTCCATAGCCCTCAGGGAAAATCCTTCTGAGGAGATCTCCTCGGCAGTTTTTTCGGGGATTTGGCAATCCCCAGGGACCTCCCGAGCCTCTTGATATGCGATTTGAAATTTTATAAGCGTACTTCTTTTCCTGCCTAGTTTATGGTAAGTATCGTACATCGAAGATTAGAATGACTTACGAGGATTGCATATGAAAATTTTTTATTCAGCTTTTACTCTGTGTCAAGAACGTGATTCAGAATGAAACATTACCATATAATATAAACTGATTAGATAAATTATTTCGGTCTGAATGCATATCGTTCTTTTCTATTGCGCAATGTCAATCTTAACTGATCTTTAGTTGGAATTCACGACGCGTAAGTGGAGAATTAAATAAGATCTCGCACTAGCCATGTTCGACATAATGGGAAACAAAAAAGATGTTCTATTAATTACAAGTCTAGCGCAATTGCTCGTAAGTTTTCATTCATGAACACATATCCGCTGTCTAGTCAATGCGCCAAAATTACATTTGCCATAAAATAAAGGCTTCACCCAATAAATTTATGCAAATTTACTTTCATAATAGCTGTGACATAGAACATTTAACTGGTGAGCTACTGCACCTCATTGCATCATTGCTTCGACTGACTAGAAGCTGTACACGGACCTGATTTTTTTTATCTCTTGGTGTCGACCGACAAGTCGACCTTCGAACCAAGATCAACTATTCAGCTCCGTTGCTGTACTGGCATCAAGATGCCGGACTCTATTCTGTGTCTTCTATCGCTTCTGTAATGAAGCTCTATCTAAAAGAAACTTAAATTTTGAACTGTAAAACCGAAGTTATTTTTGCCGAGTATTGTTTGCCTTCTCACTGAAGTGAACAAGGCCGAATTCTATGGCAAATTAGTGAGTGAGTGATGGCTTTGGTGAGCAGCTACTTGAAGAAAGTTGTTGGATATGCTTCGGACAAACGAGTGACCGTTCTCCAACACAACGTTCGCTTTTTGTTTGAGCTTTTCTGTTTCTTTCTGCGGATTTTATAATCTATTATGTTGCTAGTTACTCGTCTTCCTTAGAGTTGTATAATTTTTTTAACAAGGGCCAATTTTTCAGTGAAAATTTGAGTGAATACACGTCTCGTAGGGTGTGAATTATATTTGTATGCTCAGCTGACGTTGTAATTTTAATTTATTGTAATTACTCTCGCAAAATTTTCAAATCTCTCCACAAACTTGATATAAAGTTGCTTTCGCTTAGACATGCGACTAATATTCAGTTTTTAACATGTGATAAACATCCTCTTGACTCAAAATACGGTGAATAAATGGTGTTTGAGAGCATTCTTGAGACTGAATATTTCTTATCGAGTCCTTTGAAGTATAATTTATAAATAAACTTGTAGATATATTTTCCAGAGACGTATGAGTGTTCTATAATAATATATTATAGGGAAGAATTATAGTTGAAGAAGACAATGGTTCGCTGTTGGTATGCGGCTGACGTCACGCCTGAGCGAGACCAGCGTTCAGAGCTGCAACTGGACCCGCCCCAGCCAATCGACATCCAGCAAGTCGGCGAGCTGACAGGCGTTCTCTACTGGAAGGTAGAAGCCTTAAACCTGCTTCTCGTTTCTATGTGTTACTTATTTATTTAGTATTGAATAATTCATAATGCAAAAAATTCATGTACGTTGTTTATGTGTCTCTTTGCAGGAACTATGGTTTTTTTCTTTAATAAATGTGCATTCATTTTTTATTGACTGAATGGGGGCAAACCCTTCCGCTTTTCCCCTGTTTGGAGCTTCAGTAAACTCATCGAACTAAATGACGATTATAGAACAAGTAGAAGAAAGTAAAGCCTAACTTTTGAATAGTATTGTTTCTGCTTTGCATTGTAATTACCAAACTGCATTTTAGGATATTATTCATGCCTTTCAGATCGATGCTGACAACTACAAGTCGGAGGGCATTTTGGACAAAATTCGCAAGGAAAGAGGCTACTCATATGAAGATGTCATCGAAGTTAGCCCGGACACTCTACCCAACTATGAACAGAAGGTTTGTTACAATGACTGAATCAGACTCATATGCAGTTTTACTTCATTGCTTCAACGAACACTTTCTGTTGTTCGGTAAAGTGTTCGTAGTATTTTTTCATATTAAATATCTCGAACTGCAAATACTTCACTACTAAATATAATTCTAAGCTTGAATTTCATATAGATATGTGTTCGTTCTATTTCTAAATAGCAGCTATTGAAATTTCTCGAGGCAATCCATGTCTAACGTCTTCGTTTCGTAAATTTATGTTAATGTGTTCATTTCAGATTCGACATCGTTTGGGACATCATGATAGAGACGCTTCCTTTTAATTATAAATTCCTCTCCAAAAACAATATTCCTAATCACTGAATTTTTCTTTGCGTTTTAAGATAAAGAATTTTTTTGAGGAGCACCTCCATACGGACGAGGAAATTCGTTTCGCTCTGGCGGGCTCCGGCTACTTCGACGTAAGAGACCCGCAGGACCGCTGGATCAGAATTGCTCTGGAGAAGGGAGACCTGATCGTTCTGCCTGCTGGCATCTACCACCGCTTCACCCTCGACGAAAAGGTTATACGGACGAGTCCAACTCTAAATGTCTATAGGTTGTTAACTGATATTTCTATGTTTTGATTTCCTTGTAAAATGCGGTTGAGTTCGGCTCGATGATTTCTGATTTAGCTCACAGTCTTATCTCGTTTTGGGCTGAAGTTAAGCTGAACAAGGCTATTTTTTCGGGCAAATTTGGTTTGGCAGATGTAAAATCCTCGACCTTGGAAGCATTTGAAGATATTGTGAATTTATCTGGTCTCTGGGCTGCCTGAGGTGTTAATAGTGAGAAAATTAGTGAGGTAGTGTCAACCAATAGAATAAGTAGTTTCCTACTAAACACCTTTTCCTACTAAAGACCTTTTTTTCCTACTTCCTTTTCACGTATATAAACACAATTTCTACTTTTTAGATAATTTTTAAAAAGTAAATAATAAATAAACTATGTTTTATTATTTCTATGTGGAAGCACTCCACATAGCTCAAAATTTTTTGCGCTTTATGTATTCAGAAGGGGCCACTGCACACTCAGTTAGTCACTGTTTGCTTAGTTTGCTGAAGTTTTGTCAATTATGTTGCTTAGTTTACTGAATCCTGAGTTCATATTAAGCATCTTGCTATTAATATTGTCAACTATTATACATGTTGTGGGCTTTATGAAGCTAGGCGAAAGAACTTTTTCTACCTGAAATGTGCACAAAGATTTGAATCAAGTGTATACCTACCAAGCACTGAAAATTTAAAGAACTTTTAGGAGCACTTTAGACATTTTGCGACTTTGCCTGTGAATATCAAGATTCTAAGACACTGGCTTGAATACGAATATTAATTTAGAAGTAAATATTAGGCGTGCTGTTTTAATAAATGCTTTATTTTCTGCTCACGCGAAATAATCTCCGTCAGAACTACATCAAAGCGATGCGGCTGTTTGTCGGCGAGCCCGTGTGGACCCCGTACAACCGTCCAGCTGACGACATGGAGGCCAGGAAGCAGTACGTCCACAAATTTTCCTGAAAAAATTTTAAATAGTGTTTATTTTCTTTCTTTTAACTTGCAGTTGGTAATGTGTTTATTATTAACCTCTATAACATGAAAATTTTCATCTCCGACGAATGTGAATTTAGGATTAAATCTAATGTCTGAATTGCTGAATTTGATTAGCTCAAAGTCAATTGTTTATGTTGGACATTTACACAATACTTTAAACTGTTTTAAACTTGAAGGATATTTTATAAATTTACCTAGATAAAAAAACACGTTCACTTCATATTCTGCATTCATTGTAATGGTATACAAGCGTGACAATTAATTTGTGTATACTTAACTGGCTTCTTAAATAGTAGATTGGTGGCTATACACTCAGAAGGTGCCAACTGTACGTAATTTCACGTACACCTATGCAAGAAGCAATTTTTTGCGTTAATTAGACCTGTATTTAGGTACCCTTACAAAATTCGTGGTCATGACTACCCTGAAATGGTAGTACTAAATACCCTCGTTATTGGTCCAACCACGGCATGGCTCTGTAATGAGTTTGTGTGGTGCCGAAGATAGTTGTGGCCTAGCAGAGATTGTAAATAGTAGCATGTTCTAGTGCATTGGGATGATCCCGGTGCTGATTGTATTAAGTGAATTCCGCTTAATATTTGAGCGTAGGAGAGTTTCAAATGTTTAGTGCCAACAAAGACGGAACTGATGGTGTCTTCTTTGTTCCGTGCCGTGCAAGAGTCAACTGCCGTGCCGTCTTGAGTATACAGGAAAAGAATCGGCGTTACAACCGTTAGGTTGGGTAAAAATGACCGGCAAAGTTTGGTGAGTAAATAATAGCTACCAAATTTGGTTGTGTAGAGTTTAGCGAAAGTATATGGAGTAAACTAAAGAAAACAAATTCAGTTCAGTGACGAAGAGCGACCGAGTTTGGTTCTGTATAGGCGATCAACGAAGTAAGATGCAGTAAAAAAGGACAACTAAGTTCGCTATAATAACAAAAGAGCTTTTGTTGTTTCTTGCGCCATCGTCACGCTCGCAAGGGGGAGGCTCCGGTGGAGGCCGAGGGAGGGACACCGGAAGAGGGGGGAGATGGGCAAAGGAAGGGAGGGTGGCCAGGAACGTCACCGCCTCCACAGGACTGTCCCACAGTGAGGAGACTTGCTATTGGGGGTGCATCTGCGTTATAACGAGACCTCTCTGGAAGGGCCAAATTGCCCCCATTTCAACCTCACTGGGAAGCCGTGTGGAGATGGTTCCCTGGAGTGTTGCGTCCTGGGAGGCGCTACCCGGTTGGATTGGACCAACTGTTTTTTTTCTGATGGGGGACTTGGAGTCCCGGCTGCCAAGTGCATGTACCTTCTCCTGCTTAGTGGTAACATCGAGCCAAATCCGGGCCCCATAACCTTGTGCCCCACCTGCACCACGCGTATAACATCTTCTCGCGTTAGTGGAGGATCTATCTTGTGCAAAAATTGCAGTTCCACCTCAAGTGCACCTCGCTTCCAACCCTTAGACATTATACCAGCAGCTGGTACTGCTCATTGTGCCGCCCTGTGACATCACATCCGCACTGCAAGTCCAACAGCATACACCGGCTTCCCACTCGCCGGTGCGCCCCCCGGCTCCGCTGCCACCTGGTCCACTGCCTGGGCCTCCCTTCGCCTCGCCCAGTCCCTTCCGCTCGACCACAAGCCAGCACACCGCCGACCCGCCATCAAGACCTTAACATCCAACAACTCCTACGCACCAAGCATGTCGAACTCAAATAATACATGCACTGTAACAAAATTCACGTCGCCATAATATAAGAGACAAAGCTCAGGCACTCGCACAAGACACCACCCAACCCAAACTACACTGCCATCAGGCAGGAAAGGCAACACGGGGAAGGCGGTGGATTGATTACGTACATCCACCACAGTATGGCCTACTTGGAGAAAACTAAGCATGTCCAAGCGCACATTGCTGCCCCCGTAACCACATCACAACAACATGCAACGCCGCGTGCTTCTTGCAACTCTACGTTAGTCACATTACGCCACGTGCATCTCCCCACACCATGTGTATCACATCAGTCAAACTCGAAGCAATAATTAAATGTGGTCGGGTGCTAGCCCCCACACGATTTTAGTGCCAACGCTGGGTCAGGTTTTGATAACGATTAATGTGCCAACGGCTGCGGTAGGGCTTGAACTACGATTATGATACCTGGAATCGGGAGATTAGAGATTACGTTTAGAGGACATCATAAAATAACCCTTTCAAACTAATTGCCCCTAGACGAAGTCATCCTAAAAATAGGAATGAACTATGATATGATATAACAGCATATTAGCATGCTTTTATAACTATGGACGTCAACGATGTCTTGGCGCAGCCTTACTCACAATAACAACTTCAATCTTCACTCAATAACATGAACTTGGTATCACAAATTCTAGAATCATCCACAGTAACAGACGATAGAGAAATACACAGATAGGGGAGCCATAATAATATAGCAAGATTAGCAACCTAATAAAAGGTAACACTGAGCGGGAGGGCGTGAGCTGCTACACTTCATTCGCTCAAGTTCTGTTAGTGCACCGTTGTTATGAAGAAACTGACGAAGAACCGCTCGGATACGCGCTACATTCATCGAAGAATAATTTCGTTATTTTTTGCTATTGTCCACGCACTTATTGAGTGCACGCCTGAGTAAGCTAAGGTTTTACGAAAGAATAGATATGGGTAGGTAAACTTTGTGTATTGAATGTCGATAGGTCGTGCCTGGCTACCGCTAGCGCGTTCGCGCCAGAAGCACGGCGCCGGTCAAACTAAGCTTGTAGCCTAGCTGTAGGGACGAGTTACACATATATGTCGGAGTCTCGTACTCTCGTTTGAACTGTGATCAAGGTAAGACGTGTTCCATTGCCTTGCAATCTCAGTGTGACTATAATTCCAGTCAAGCCATATGGCTGGAAATCCTGAGTCAGCCGATCTTATAGATCCAGGTGTGCTGGACATACAGCTTCAGGAAAAGCACATGCCCACTGAGGCCCAAGGGCCAAGGGCATGGGGCCTTGCGAAGGGTTAGGACCGACGCACGGCGTTGGACCGATAAGTACTCACAATAATTCCCTGCCACCATGGCATGGAATATATCTACTTGGCGAGCCTCAACTGAATTTTTCGAGCTGTGGTTTTATGGATTTGCCAGCTGTGATTCCATTTCTTCGAGCCATGAATTCCATATCTTGGCCATGAAAAGCCATTTATGAGGCGTGAATTTATTTACAAAGTATATGCACGTGTTACCCCAAATCTCTGGTTTTACCCTAAAACGGTCAAACAGCAACAGAAAAATTTGTCTTTACTGTAAGTTGAGCATGTGTTAATGCAGTCTGACCGCTTTGACATGACTGCAACTATGCGCGATCTTCAACAAAACGTTTAGTTGATTTGTTTACATTACGATGTTTATGTTTTTTCTACAGGATATTTTGGCGGGAACGGTAAAGCAATGTGGATTGTGCAAGTTGAAAATTATATGAAATGATATGTTTGCAAAGTGCAAACTGCGATTTTTCAATCAAACAAAAATTTATTACATTCAAGCCGCAAGATTTCATAACTAATGAAATTATATGATATTAGAGCCGAGATATTTCAGACAAAAATAGGACTTTTCCAGCCCTGCCACATTACACCACCTTCCACTGCAGTGAAAATTGATAAACTGAGCTCATTAAAAACAGCCGCACTTCCAAAATCGCGTGTGGTTTGACATCCAATCCCGTGTTGGCAATGCCTCAATCAAGTTAGCTAACTAGTCGTTTATCTGTAGGGTAGTTGACAAATTTTTGCAATGAATGTTTTCTAAAATGAAAAAAAAACATCCACATTCGCAAAAAATTCTCGTGATTGGACAATACCAACAAAGTTTTTGATGTCACACAAAATTATGTGATAAACTGTCACTCTTTCACTGTGTACGTTCAGATCGTGCTTCTACGTTTACATATGACAAGGCCGCAAGGCGGTGTCACACACTGTTGTTTTGGTTGTATCTAGTTCGATTTCACAATAAATAGACTTGATCCACATTTCATACTGAGATTTAAATGATTGAAAGTTTTTTAAATTCTAAAAACCCATTTATATGTTTCAGATTTGAATTTTTTAAATTTTTTTGCCCTATTATGTTAAATTTATCTTGATAAATTCACTTCAAATTCTGAATTATTTTGTCTGCCATCGCGAGTTTTCGAGCATTTTGTGTCTTTTAGAAAATGTTGGTTGTTTAAAAGTTGAAACTATTTCATTATATAAAACATAGAACATGTACCATATAGTGCATTAATAATACAATTTAATTTAATAAAAATTAATTTTTAATTTAAAAAATATAATCAGATTTTTAATTCAACATTTTTCTAATAGAATTTAATTCTACAGCATGTAGCATCTAGTGTATTAATAAATAAAATTTAAATTAGTTCAATTTTATTTTAATTACTTTTTTAAATTTAATTCTACAGCTTCAACCGTTAAGAATGAGCATCATAGGAATGAAAGTAAAACTGTCGTTCATACATTACAAATTGAACGACAATGGATGGACTTGAAAGGTATTTCATTAATCCTGCTTATATATAAGAACGGAAATGATGCTTCTATTTCAGAATGATAATGGAAATGTCCCTACTATTTCAGAAACTTTTCTTGAATAAACTTTCGAAAACTAAAGTTCTGTAATCAATGGAGTCTTCGAAATTACAAAATCATTCAATTTAAAATTTTTAGCTATATGAGTGAGATTGTCATTTGTCAATCATCATAGGATCTGTAAGAAAGAATTAGTTGTTTTTGATGTAAAAGAATGTTTTTGAATTAAAAGAAATGCAATATACCATAAAATGGGGTAAATTAGACCACTTTTATTTTTATAAATGATGCCATTTTTTTACTAGCTAAATTAAACTTGAATTGAAACATGAAAAATACAGGTCTATACTCTAGCTTCACTCACCATAAATTGCTGGCTCTTTACCCCATCAGGGCTGACATTAGGTGGTCTAAGTTACCCCATTTGGGGACGGCGCCCCCCATTTGCAAACTATGACACTTTCCTAAAATTTGTCATTTGCATATGTAACTAGAAGAGTTCTACTACAATACATCAAAACCTGGAGTTATTTATTCAAAAAATAAAAAAATTGGAGGTGGTACTCTGACAGGCTTTAAATAATAGCTTTTTTTTGTGGGTCACATTTTTAATTTTTTAACCTATTAGATATGCAAACTTTTCAAATCTTTCTATTGTGTTATGTAGCCTCAGTATTAGGCCTTTAATGCCCATTGACAATATTTTTCTATGTCAAATAGTTTTTGAGTTGTGGGGGTTTTTGTTAAAAAAACAAAAAGTGGTCTAAGTTACCCCGCCGGTCTAAGTTACCCCATTTTACGGTACTTGATTTTTGGAAATACGATGCTAAAATTAATGATCCGTATTAGAATTCAACAGACGTTACGCTTTCAGAATTATTTTCAAAAAGTTTGTACCTATTTAGAATTTATAATTCTACAAATTGCATAACGCAATGCACAAATTCAAGATCACCTATGAGTATGAATTTAAGTCTCATGACTGGAGAGATTTCAAAATTTTATATACTATCATGTATGCATGATATAAGCTTTTTGTCCTTTTGATGAACAAAGTTCATTTAGGTTCTATTGGGTGTAATGGGTAGAACAATGCAACATATTAGCAGCTAACGATCGGTTGGCCATCAGTTGGTTATTTCCAAAGATCGGTTGATGTTCGGCTCTTGATAATGCTGATAAATGGTGTACAAATATTGGGGTAGATACATCGTCCAAGAGTTTTGATGCAAAGATTTTTATTTAAAGGATAATAAATTGATTTGCAATTGTTTAATCCCTCTTATGGATATAAATAAAAATCATTTGATTTATTTCAAAAGCATTTCATAAATTAGCATTAAAATATTTCCTATGAATAAACCAAGTCAAAGTAACAAAATAATTCAATTGAATTTTTGTTCGTTTGATCAGAAACAACATAATTAATCATTCTCCTGCACTAAGTATACGAATGATTAGTCGGACGCCATTACCGTCCACAATGATCATCCCGCTAGATTATGCACCGGGAGCAGGAGGCGGGAATGAAGCTAGGTATTTAATTCAGTTGCATGCTGGCCCACGTGATATGTAGTTCTGCTCATCTGAACTCTGAATCTTGTGTTTAGTGTGCATGATGGAAAACTCGGCTTTGCAGCATAGTTATAATTACTTAATGAAGTTTAGTTCATTGCAGTCAACTTAAGAGACAAATTTTCAACTAACTAATACTTTTTATAAGTCTAATTTTAATTGTGGAGTGAAAGGTGCAGGCATACAACTTGCAAGTGATTAGGTACTTAATAGAAACTGAGCAAGTTAGCGTACATGTTTTAAGCCTTTAAGAAGTTCATTTTTTGCCTCAAATAATGATGTTGGATCAAAAAAGTGGTCTTGGGGGATCGAAATAAATAAATAACAATAACAAATAATAAATAAATAATATATGAACCTTCAAAATTAGAATTCCATCCTGGTTAACAAAAGTTCACGACTAGGCCGCACGATTCCAAATCTATTAAAAATTTCTCACTTTGGAGCCAGGATGAGAGAATTGACAGTTCATATATTATTCCTGATACACCTAGACCAGTTTTTTGATACAACAACATTATTTGAGGCAAAAAAATGAACTTGTAGGCTTAAAACACGTATGGGTATGCTAAGTCACTGTAAAGTAATCACTTGGAAATGTTGCGTGCCTGCAAGGCTGCAGCTTTCACTCAACAATTAAAATTATAAAAAGTATTAGTTCGTTAAAGATTTGTTTTTTAATATGACTGCAAAGAACTAAACTTCATAATGTAATTACAGCTACCGTGACCGTGCTGTAAAGCAGAATTTTCCATGATGCACACACTAAACACGCAATTCATGGGAGCAAGACTAAATAGAACAACAAAAGCTAGCCCCCGGCATGCAACTGACAAAAACAAATGATGATCACGGCAGTGGCGGCATGGTGTATAACACTCATATGCTCATTGCAAGAGAATGATTAATTATGATATTTCTGATAAGAGGTTTGAAATATTTTTGGAAGCCTAAAACTTGTACAAATTGTTTTGTTACTTTGACATGGTTAAGTTCAAAATAAATATTCTAATGCGAATTCATGAAAAGCGTTTGAAATAAATTGAATGATGTTCATTTATATCTATAGGTGGGAGTAATTCGAGTAAACAATTACAAATCGATTTATTATCCTTTAAATAAGAATCTTTGCATTGAAACTTTTGGATGATGTGTCTACTGCAATATTTGTACAGTGGTATCAAGAGTCAAAGCCATCAATCGATCGTTGGATGGCTGCAAATATGTCGCATCATTCTACCTATTATGGTCAATAGAACCTAAATAAACTCTGTTCATCGAAAGGAAAAAAAGCTTATATCAAGCTTACGTGGTAGTACAATAAATTTTGAAATCTTCTCCAGTCATGAGACTTAAATTCATACTCATAGGTGATCTTGAATTTGTGCATTGCATTATGCAATTTGTAAAATTAGAGATTCTAAATAGGTACAAACTTTTTCAAATTAATTCTGAAAGCATAACGTCTATTGAATTCTAATTTTTGAGCTACTATATCAAGGACAATGATGCAATTCGAAAAACAGGGGAAAACGTCTAATAATCGCACTAAATATGGTTGACCCTCAAAGCTATCTGATAGAGATCAAAGAACATTAAACGGCATTATGAAAAAAATAGGCAATCTACAGCTACAAAGGTGCGTGCAGAGTTAAATCAGCATCTCAACAATGAAGTTTCTACCAAAACCGTTTGTCGTGAGCTTCATAAGGGTGGATACCATGGAAGAGCCGCTATCAGGAAACCTCTACTTTATAATTACTGTTCATGTTTTGTATTTAATTTAATATATTATTTAATTATAATAATAATTTAAATACTGTTCATGTAAAATGTATATTACGTATGTTTGACCAGCACAACATTGAGCCACAGACTCAATTGCCATCTGCAAGCCGGAGGACCAAAGAATCGTGTGCACGAGGCCCACAACAAAACCAAAACCTATGCCATATTGGAGGCCTGCACCAGCATTGTCATGCAGTGCCCCAATGCTAAGAGACTGTCTATAGCAGAGGTTCTCATCATCAAGGACGAGTCTCCTGCTATCAATTTGCAAAGCACTGGATTTGTCAAAACATTACAATTATTCTCAGATTAATTAAATTTTTATTTTAAACCACAGCAAGATACTTTTTGTATGTACTTATGTCACTTCCAAATTTCAATTTTAAGCATTGTAATAACTCTACACCTACTTGATAATAAATATTGAATATTTGAAACGTTATTTATATATATATTAAATTTTATCCAGTAAATTAAAAATTATCCAGTAAAATTAACAATTTAAAAAATTGTTAATAAACGTATACTCTGGTCTTCATTCAAACCTGCACAAATACCAATATTAGAATTAGATGGCAGAATATTCTTGTTGAAACATGTACTATAATTGACCAGAGAATGCATAATATTACAATTTTCAGGGAGCCAAAAATTCTTCAGATGACATTAATAGATCAAAGTGCAGGTCACAGCAAGTACTTATAATATATTTAATGACGCTTCAAATATATCAACATTCATTTTCAAGTTTACTTGAAAATTAATGTTGATACATTCTAAATTTTTCTCTGGTTAATTATGGTAGGTGTTTCAACAAGAAAATACCAATATTTACCAACATTTATACCAACAATACCAATGTATACTAACATTTATCCTCCCTACGCATATGCAAGCGTCCCTAGTTTATAAATATAGTTGTACAATTTACATCTGTGTACATTGGGATGTCGTCCCACAATCTTTATTCTGGGGGTTGCAGAACATAGGGGCCGGAGTTGTAGAACTGGCCACTTACTATCGCACCCCCTCATTTGACTATGCGTGCAGTCATGGTGGCATTCTAAATATCATGTACCAATGTAATTTAGGAGCGCATGCCCTCGAAAAGAACTGGGACACCCTGGAGAATACCGCCATGGTTAATAAATAAAAGATCAATCTATTTTATAGATTGATCTTTTATCTATCAACCTCCAAACTACAAGATTCGTCTGGACGCTGAAATTATTTTCAGAGTAATTTTAAAGCTTATATTTTAAATTGATGTTGAATTGTATTCACTATACCATTGATATGTACTACTGTCATATTCAAAATTCCATTACAAGTGTTGCAAAACCTCCACCTGCTTCATAATGAAAATTGCATTTTCAAGCATCGCAATTTATTGCAAAATGTCATTCGGAAACCTGCTCTTCGATCTCCCAGCTCCAGCTAGAAATTTGGTTTGACTCATTGAAAAGACGAACAAGAAGATTGATAATAAAAAGCATGCTCTGGTCTTCAATCAAACTTCTTCCACTTATGTCACTTAACTAATAAGGAAATTGTCAATAAAACAAATTCTCTGGTCTTCAATAAAATCTGCTTAAAGGAACAACTTTTGCCAACCTACACTAACTTGCACTTATACGGACTATGATTATTTTTTACCCAATGACCTATGTAAAATTGTGAAAAAAAGTAAAAAGAACCTGATCTGGCTGGACCTAACCTCAGTAGAAAGGTGTCAAGCAACCTAACTCTAACCTTAATTTTTGAAGAAAAAAAAAACCCTAACTCTAACCTTAACCTAACAATGTTGGCATTTTTTAGAATGTACGGTAGTGCAGTTCATTTATTCTTGTGTCCAGTTTTTAAGTACAAACTAGTACAAGAGTATAACCGGATGCGATTTTGTCCGGGTTTCTAACCCATGTCCGGTAATGTTGCCAATCCTGTCTGGCTATTGACTAACTTCCGTATATATAAATAATATACTATATCATATCTTGAGATAATCCTATTTTAAAAATTTTACAAACCCAGGTAATGAAGTTAAAATGATATATAATACTCACTGGGATGAAAATTAAATCTAGGATTATGCTAGAAAACACTGGCAATATGTTGATTGTTCCTTGTAAGATAATGTTGCATATATGTTGAAAAATGAAGGTCATGTTTTTTACTGGTTGACAGTTTTTGTTTCAGGAAGAGAAAACAGAGTATTGTTAGTCATAAAGATGACTCTCATAACTCCATCTTCTGAAATTTGATCTCAATTTTCAAGGTAAGTAGATGTGATTTTTTTTTTAATTTATAAGAATTTAATGAATTATAATAATTTTGGTTGAAATTTCCAATTAAGCATAAAATTATCATTTTGTTTTTGTGCCTAAGTGAACATTTTAGTGTTAATAGCTTATTGTGTGGTAACATTATATAGTTTCATAAATATGAAGACTTGAATGTATTATGTGACTCTCTTTCAGATGGATGTTATCTACTTTATTGGTGATCAGCGCTTTCTCAGCTTGGTCACCAAGAGTAGTGATTCATCACCATTTACATGTAATGGTAAGATCTTGAACCTTTCTGATTGTCAAACTTTGGCAGAGATTATAGCAACCACAACTTCTTTACTTAATCCCATTACTACAGGAAATGGTCAGGATAATGAAATAGCAAACAACTCTTGTACACCAAAGGCCATCATTTTGTTTTCCTTCCTGAATGATTTGTCAAAGAGAGCTGCTGACCCTACAGTTTCCAGTAAGAAAGGGCTCTGGAAAGCCATAAAAAATGTGAATCCTGAGAAACTAGCTCAAGAAGCTGCTGATGCCTCTAATCAATGGCAGGCAATGATTCCTGGTCTGAGAGTGATTTGGGTGATCCCGCCCAAGGTTGATTTTCAGCTTACTAATGAGTCATTTGTTGTGGAAGAAAAACAAGACGGGTTGTCCGAAAGAGAATTGAGAGGCTGTAATGAATCCACTAAAATCTTCTGTCAAAACATTGTTGAATTGACAGCTATTTTCAAATCAGATCATCCCTGTATAGAAATATTAGATCTTGCTGAGATTCTGCCAAAGGACTTCAATGTTCTTCCTTGGAAAACCGAATTGGATTATGAAACAAAACTGAGTATATTTCAGGAGCACCTTAAGTTAGGTGCTAATGATTCAGAGGTAGGGAATGTGAGTGGTATTGAAATTGATGACAAGGCTGCTCTCTATGAACCATTTAGTCTAAGTTCTGCTCCACTTGGCATTGATTCAGATGTTTATCCAATGACAACAGAATCATTGCCAAATCTTGCCTCAGTGTTCAATGATGAAGTTATTGAATCAACTTTAAGTAATGCAACCAAGGAAATAAGTGTTGTTGAAGGTAGTCTCTTTGAACATAATGTGATTGATCATGTTGAAACTGTGATGAACAATCAAGCAGTGGGTGCTGCAATGTTTGAAGCAGAAAAATTGGATGAATCAGTTGCTGCTGGTGCTGCATTAAATTATGCAACAATAACTTTTGGAAAAGATGCAGTGAATGATGGTTTCACTGACAGTGAAGGAAATGAAGCAAGTGACAATGTGCCAGATGATGAAGTCAAACATGAGGCTACTAGCAATGATGACAGTGATCATTTGGAACAAAATCTTGAAGATACTGACAAAGATGCAGAAAATCTATTAACAGATTCACAGACAACGCAGAATATATATTCTGAAAACATGAAAGATTCCTCAATAAAAGCCTCAGATAATGATGAAGTGACTGCAACACATTCATTGGATGCTGCAGACATCCCAGCTAGTGATGCCAAAACTTCTCTTCCAGACAAAGGCGCTGATGCCAATGCTGATCTTGAAGTTAGTGCCACACAATTGTTGGATGCTGCAGTCATTCAAGCTGCTGATGATGGTGTAACTTCTGTTCTAGATGAAGGTGCTCTTGCCAATGCTGATGTTGAAGTGAATTATACACATTTGTTGGGTGCTGCAGACATCCCAGCTGGCAATGATTGCATAACTTCTGTTTTAGACAAAGGTGCTGATGCCTGTGCTGAGGTTGAAATGAGTGATACATGTTTGTTCAATGCTGCAGACAGCCCAGCTAGCAATGATGTCATAACTTCTGTTCTAGACAAAGGCACTGATGCCAATGCTGATGTTGAAGTGAGTGAAACATGTTTGCTGGATGCGGCAGGCGATCCAACTGGCAATGATTGCGTAACTTCTGTTCTAGATGAAGGTGCTGATCCCAATGCTGAGGTTGAAGTGAATGATACACGTTTGTTGGATGCTGCAGACATCCCAGCTGGCAATGATTGCATAACTTTTGTTCTAGACAAAGGTGCGCTTGCCAATGCTGAGGTTGAAGTGAGTGATACAGATTTGTTGGATGCTGCAGTCGTTCCAGCTTGCGATGATGGTGTAACTTCTGTTATATATGAAGGTGCTCTTGCCAATGCTGATGTTGAAGTGAATGATACAGATTTGTTGGGTGCTGCAGACATCCCAGCTGGCAATGATTGCATAACTTCTGTTCTAGACGAAGGTGCGCTTGCCAATGCTGAGGTTGAAGTGAGTGATACAGATTTGTTGGATGCTGCAGTCGTTCCAGCTTGCGATGATAGTGTAACTTCTGTTCTATATGAAGGTGCTGATGCTTATTCTGATGTTGAAGTTAGTGCCACACATTTGTTGGATGCTGCAGACATTCCAGCTGGCGATGATATCGTGACTTCTCCGGACAAAGATGCTGATGACATGACTGTATCCACAGATGTTGTTGTATCTGAAACTAACAAGCTGACTCCTGTAAATAGCTTTGAATCTGAAGTATCTATTATGGAGATAAATGTTCCTGCTGCAAAGAAAGTATACCAGGAAAGTGATATTTTAACAGACCCAGAAGAAATGCCAGAAACTGATGCTTTTGCAAATGAAGGTGGAGTAGGTGCAGAAACTGATGCATTTAGTGGCAGTGTAAAAATGGGTGTAAATGCTGACACAACCAAGAATCTTACAGCAGCAGAGGTTGCACATGTTTTTGTCAATAACAATAATGAAAATAAACTTTTAGATGCTGTAAAAGAAACTTACAAGAGTGAAAAACTATTGCCTGAGATATGCATAGCTGTAAGTGGTGAAAATGCAGAAGACCAAAATGATGAAAAATGTGTAGATGCTTATAATTTCATTGCTTTGAATTATGAATCAGATGGAGATAAGGATTATCTAGTTTCTAATACTTCAGCTGGAAAACTTTCTGGTAACTTTGAGGGACGAGATGAAGAAGCTCCTTTTGAGACTAAAGACTTGCCAAACCAAGAACCTGCATTTTCAAGTGTGGAAGTAGTAAGTGTTGGTGTTGATGCTGAAAATATTGTCCATGCTTGTAAAGAGACTGAAAAGGACCCTTTAACTTGTGAATTTGATGCAACAAATGAAAGTAATGATGCTGTTATTATTGACGAGTCCAAAACGCTTATTGATGACCAAGAGGATGCAGCTTTGCATTCAACTGTTATGACAGCTCAAAATGAAATTGTTGTGTTGCATGCTGACACAAATCTTGAGGCTTTTGAAGAAGGCAGAGCTCATGAAAGTAATCATAACCTGGAGGAGGACATGCAAGGATTATCTGAAAATGATTTTAATATCACAGACAGTGAGCCTGAAGATGAACTGAAGATGGAAGAGCCAATAATTGATGCTGCTGTCATATCTTCCGATATGGATGGTAATATAATTAATGTACAGCTTGATGCCTCTGTGGGATATGGACGACAAAGAAAATCTTCTGAACTGGGAACCAAGCCATCAGGCCTTGTTGACTATGATGATGCAGAAGATGAGACCCCAGAAGAGACTGAAGCGGACTTGCAAGCAGAGTTGGATGAAATTCCAATCTTGGAAGCAGAAGAAAATGAACTGAATCTAGTTATTTCTGATGTTATGTCGCTTCATGATGAAAGTCAGCTAGAATGCTCTGTAAACCAAATGCAAACAACTGAAGAAATCAATTCTACACAGGTTTCAGAGACAAAAAATGTCAATGAGTTATCTGCATTACTTAAAGCTAATGAAATTGGCAATTCAAGTGGAGTTGTTGATCTGACTGAAAGTTCTCGAGATAGCTCATATAAGGATAATATTGAAGAAACCTCTGCAATATGGGAGATTGGAGTTGAGCCAGAGGAGCTAATCTATGAAGATGGTTTTGCTAGTGATGAGGGTGATGCAGACTTTTCTAAAGAAGCTGATGATCAGAAAAATGAATTGCCAAAAACCAGTTATGAGGGTGAAAATTCAGCTGATTCTTCATTTGATGTGGTGTGCTTGTCCAGCAAAGAATTTCCATCTGCAATCTCTCCAACAAAGAAGAAGGTAATATTCTATCGTGGTTATGATTAAAATGATTCTATACTGCATTATGGTTGCTTAGATTAGAGGTAAGCTGAAATATACTGTTTATTTTATCAACAATTCAAGGAAATACTCCTAATATTCTTTCAAGTGTTGGTAATCAAGCTCATGTGGAAATGTATACTTATGCTCATTATTATTATAAATCATTTTCAAATAAAACTAATTCTTGAATTAATTTTATGATATGTCTAATTTTTTTTACCTTGCTTGTGCTACCTAGGGACATGATGTGGCCAAATATTTTTCTGAACCAGCCCAAGCGCAGAAGATAATTGACAGTGAATCTACCCATCACTGTGGTAAGTCTTAAGATTTAAAATGCATCCGGTAGCGTTTTTCATTCATTTGCAAGCATCCTTATTTTTTCGTAGAAAGTTGATAATGCAGTAATAATATCTGAAGAATTTTCAGCCTAATTTTAATTTTATTAAAAGAGGTGAGCAAAGTTTTGGGAGCTACATTTTTTTCTCTTTCAGGATTGCAGTATATCATGGAGGTGATACGAGAACCTAAAGGCGCGGCCGCGACTGCAGACAAATCAGAGAGCAAGACTGAGACTTCATCAGCTGTAACAACTGAAGATTGTTTCTATATCTGTACTCAGTGCTCTAAAATTTTGGGCAATACCACATTACTAATGCGTCATATCAAGAGTCTACCTCACAAAATTAAGTTTGCTGTGAGTGTTTCATTACAATACTGCCAAAGCCTTTGTAGAAAGAGAAGCACTTTACGCATGAGAAATCTACCACAACTGTCGTGAATGATCTGCAACAATTAGCAATCTTCAAGATCTTCTTAACCTTCATTGATGAGGCCTTCTGCAACCTGTTGCTGCCATTATGCTGAAATAAAGTCTTCAAACGCCTTAGTTTTTAACCTTGACAATAGTGACTCTAATTAATATTATTTAGTTTCCCCCAACAGTCTAGTATTTCTTGAATAATATTAATGATTGTTGATTCAGTGCTGTTATCTTAAGGTGATGAAATATTATTTATTTAATTAAATTATATTTTAAATTAATTTTAATTCCACAATATATCATGTTCTAGTGTTCTTTCCAAAATATCAAAATCTAGGTCCTTTTGTGCTATTGATTGAGGTTCATAACATTTTAAACCAAATAAATTCCATCAAGTCCTTTAGTCTCGTGATTGACGTTGGCAAATGTTTATTTAAATTATCAATCAGAATTATGACCTAGGAAAAGAATTTTTCCTTTCTGCGCATCTTTTGTATATACAAAACACATCATATCCAGACGATCTCCGGTAATTTTTTAATTTAGAATGGTAATCATATGTATGAAGACTTGTGTGTGTGCAGATTGATTTTTATCTTCTTGTGCTGCAGAAACTTCATTTCCCGGACGCTGTTACGGATTTTGCTGTCCCAAACCTCAATTGGGAGCCTGCCTTGCTTGCTGCTTTCAAGAAGGTTTTCTCTGAGGTATTTCTGAAATGGGAATATTAGTATATGGTGTAGAAAATTTTTGTGCTATTACAAATGTTAAATTATGAACTGCCAGACACCACTTTCTGCCAGGATAATCCAAGAAATCCAAGGAAAATAATCTCAAGATAAATAATCTTGAGTGCTGATGTTTAGTGGCATGTTAAAGATAAACCTAGTTGATCTAGTTGCATTAGTTAATTAATTGATCTAGTTGCATTTGAAGCCCTCTAACTTAATTACCCTCACTTTTTTATTTTAAATTGCCATTCTATTTGTAATTTTCTCATGAATTTGCATTTTCAGTGAGGTTTTACTGTTTAAATTTTCATTGATATTCCTATCGTTTAATCAATAATTTTTTTTGCGTACTGTGTTATATCAATGTGCTGACGTACCTAGGATATGTGACCTCCAAAAGCATTAAAAGCCAACTTTACTAATGAGATATTTCTCTCAGAAATGTCAAGAACTGGACGTGTACTCCTCTCGGCTGGCTGTGTGCAAGGAAGAGGAGTACCAGCGAGCGGCCTATTTTCTACAGCGCCACTTGGGAGACCTCAGTGCTTTCCCGTGAGCATTGATTCCTCTGATTTTTCTAATTATCGTGACAAACCTTTGTCTGCAAATTTATTTTTATAGTGAAAGAAATCTACATTTGCAATTTATATGTCTGCTAATTTTGCTATAATTCAGTTTCATTTACTCAATTCTAATCCATATGCGGTAACAAACTACTATGTTAAATCAAATTATCTTTTTTTCCCCAGCGGCTGTGTACGATATGCTTCCACACCACCAATTTCAGAGTGTGTGGCCTCACCTCCTCCTTACTATCCGAGTGAGTTTGTGAATTAAGCATAGCTTTACATCTTTTAACTGACGCTACGTGAAAGTAATCATCATTAAGAATAAAGATGTTTTGTAGGATTTCAGGATTAGTACTGATGGCAAAATCGAATGTTGCACACAAAAAATATATTGGTCTGGACTTACAGTTTTGTTGAGATTTTTTACCCCTGTTAATTCTTGAATAAAATACGCAACTTTAATTTTACTATTTCAGCGAGTGAGCCGCTAATTCAAGACCAGAATCCTGAAGTGGAAAAGGTTAGTACATCCATAGAAGTGTTGGTTGTTGGTGGCTCTCTGGTTGCTTCATGGGCTTCAATGGACTCCATCAAGATGACCCAACATAAAAACGAGGAATCGGCAGCCAGAGACGACTATGCTGCTGGTGAAGATGAACTTCCTCATGCTGAATACAAGTTTGAAAGTGTTGACACTGATGCAGATGTCGCAGAGCTAATAAACACAGCAAAGAAACACATAAAAAACGAAACGAAACTTTTGGTGATCTCCTTGTCTGAATGCTCTCTGTCATTCCAAAAAGGCCCGAGGTCATTTACGTTCGTCAAGCCTCAAGCAACGGTAAACACATTAGCGGATGAGATGCACAGCGCCATGTTGAGCCTGATAGATTTACACCCACAGCTGCGTGTTCTCTGGATACCACCGTGTGTTATGAATTTTCAGGATTTAAATAAATCTAAGTTAGAACATGACCATCAAACTCATTTAAAAGGAACCCCAGAAGAAAAGTTTATTCTGAAAAAGTGTCTAAATTTCTCGACGCGTTACGAGGAAATGATTAGGTGCTTGGTGGCTGAGATGGAAAGACTTAGCATTCCGCTTGTCTACTACAAAAATGGGTCCCAGATCAACTGTCTTGTCCTACAGAATGATGGTTTCACGCTCGCACCTGACTCTCAGAAATTACTTTGGAAATGTGTGTCTGATTATGTTGATGGCATGATTGCCAGTAAAGTATTGACGTCAACTATGGGAGAGCTTTCTCCTCCAGAAACTCAAACCCCTACTGACGGTATAGCCGGATTATTTGGCGTGCAGGATGCTGCGAACGCCATTCTCGCAATGACACCAAAGGTTGATGCTGCTGTGGCGTCAAAGAGTGATGCTGCGACGACATCTGCGGTGGATTCTGGGGTCAGCGTTTTGAAAGGTTTGATATCCAATTTCAGCAGTTGAGTCTTTTTCGCTACACATTTTATGCCTGTCTGGTATATATAGATTTGATTTCAGCTATCATGTCCGAACCTCTATCTGAACTGTGTGGGTTAGAGTTAGATAATATTTTCGATTTTCGGGTGTCTTATCAGCTGATTTCAGAGCTAAAACACTGCATGAAATTCAAAGTAATAATTTAATGTGCGTGTATGGTGTGGGAAATTTAATTTCGACATGAAATGGGGATTTAAGTATGTATTTTGCGGCTCGTGAGTGTAAGACTTGCCTTCCAGTAAATTATGTGAACTATTTCATATCCTGTAAAGTGTTACCCGTAAAATCAGTTTATACAAAATTGAACCTAGTTTTTTTCATTCCTAAATTGTAGTATAATAGCTAAATTCGAGATTACTTTATTTGAAATGATTCTCTTATTTGTGCAGATCCTCGTCAGAAGGCCTCGGTCCATTTGTCTGGAGAAGAGGAAACCCATAAACGGGGCAGGTTGGTTTACCATGTTCTTTTCAACATAGTTCGTGTGGATTGCGCCGTTTGTTACAATATTGATCGGATTTTAAATGAAATTGCGAGTAGTTGATCAATGATCAGCATGTATATCTATGTAGGACATTACCCTATTCAATATATTCATAGTAGATTTCAATTCATATGCATTATGATGTATATTTGTGATCATATTGCATTTCCTGAGTTTTATTTTTAACTAGGGATGAAGAGGACAATGACACTTCCAATAACACGAAACGTTCACGGAACTGGCTACCAAGTGTTACGCGCTCTCCTCGTATCTATCCGCCCTTGGCAATGGACAAGCACTTCTCTCCTACCAACTCTTTGCCTGTAAAATCTCGTATTGGGCTGCCTAGAAGGTCAACTAATGACGATCTTCGCTATAAGCTTGAAAAAGATCATCTTAACGTTCACCTGCCAAACAGAACAAGCCCAACCCGCCAAACTCGTGGCATTAGGAGCAAGACCAGAAGCCGTAGCAGATCAAAAAGTAGTGATCGATATAAGCGACTAAATTCTTCATATCGTTCATACCGCAATACATTTATGTGGAACAAGTCAAGATCGAGATCCGCCAGTCCTCGTTTGAGGCGAAAGATTTACAACAGAAGTCGATCCAGAAGTCCACGAAGAGATCGATCCAGAAGTCCACGAAGAGATCGATCCAGAAGTCCACGAAGAGATCGATCCAGAAGTCCACGAAGAGATCGATCCAGAAGTTTACGAAGAGATCGATCCAGAAGTCCACACAGAGGCCGTCCCAGAAGTCCACACAGAGGCCGATCCAGAAGTCCCCAAAGAGGTAGATCCAGAAGTCCCCAAAGAGGTAGATCCAGAAGTTCAAACAGAGGTCGTTCTAAAAGTCCACGTAGGCGCTCGAGAACTCTGAGTAGGAGTAGGTCCGGAAGTCCGCGGGGTCACTCCTTGAGTTCTCACAAGAGCTCAAAGGGATCAAGAAAGCACCTGAGCAACACCCAACCTATTGGCGTACAAAGCAAGGAATGTGGAGCGAGAAGAAATCCGCGAAATGTCTCTGCAGTACCGGAAGAGGAGGTATGATCATTTAAGCGAGTCAAGAATATTTTTCTTGCCACTTGCTCTTCAGAAATTTGCGTAAATTATTGTAAGATTCAAATTTATTGACCTGATATTTGATTTCACTCCTAGACACGGGACCAGTGTTTTGTAATTACATGTTCTTCTGGATTAGTTTCCATATTTCACTCGTGTGCAGTATGAAAGCTACTGAGCTACGATTCCTTTCGCTATTTCTTTATTTGAACGATACAGAATGAAAATGTCAATGTAAAATCTTCAATGTAAAATGATGTGGCTAAGTGAGCGAAACACCATTCAGTTTATTTCAGTGATCAGCTTCAATTATTTCAAGTAAATTTTGTAATTCTCATTTTACAGAACACTGCATTTGATTACGCTGGCAGCAGAGCTCGAATGCTTTTAGGCAGGACTCTAGCTAAAACGCCCGTCATGGGGAATGAAACGCAACCACAAGGAGCTGCCACATCTGCAACTCCCCACCTGCCCGGACATCGGCTGGTTGCTTCATCAGGGGGCACGACTACTACAAAGAAGCAGAGCTTCATGCCCTCGACCAGCCAGAGGCTCCCCGTTGCCCACGGACCTCCTCCAATGGTTCCGTTATCTGACGCGCATAAAAGGTCGAGGAGTAATATCCCTGATTCTAGTCAAGTAGATATGATCTCGACACTTAAAAACCTTGGCGAAATGAGGGAGTTGTCTGAAGTGAAATCGTGCATCACCACTCTCCTCGTGGCTGCTGTCAATTGTAAAATGATTAAAAAAGACGTAATGAGTACATTCCGAACACCAAAAAATATTGTTGCTGCAAAACGCATCTATGACAAACTTTTCTCATGCATCCCGCGGAGCAAATTTGTTCCGGAATCGAAACTTGTAGAATCATTCCGCTCTATCTCGCGACTCATTACTGAGATCAAGACGGACATTTTTTGTGGAGTAGATGCTTTTGAAATTGCTTCAGATTCTATTGAACTTTCTGAGTCCAGCATCGAGCGTGTAGTGAATGCTTGCCTAGAGGGCGCTGAGTGTCCTGAGAAGATGATCCCTAACGTACGAAAGCTTATTATGGACGTCATCAAGCTGCTCCACGCACAAGAAGCAGCAAGGTTGGACTCACTGTCGCCACAATCCACATCGAAAAGCAAGAACGCGAATCCAGAAGAAATACAACAGTCGGGTTACAACCATATCGTTTCACAAAAGGCCCGGGAGATTGATCGAGCCATGAAGATAAAGCGAGAATTGATGCCTGAAAATGTGCGTATATTCCGTGATGATTTCGCCCGCTCTACCTCGCTCGTACGAGGCCCACAACAGCAGCCTCTGGACTCGAGCAGCGACACGGCTAGCAGCAGCAGCGCACCGTCTGTTCGTCCCATGCAGACGGCGCGCACCGAAACCTTGGAGTACGCGAGCAGTGAGCTTCTAAGGAAAATGGAAGATGAAAAGCTTCGCCGTGAATTGCAAATGCATCACGATCGTGCGCTTCAAGAGCGACTCCGTGTAATGCAACAGAATATGAAAGATGGAGGCGATTGGATAGTCTCATCTCAACGGCACGATGTTAGCAAACACGCACCTGGGGCTCTGAAGGCTACAAATAAAACGGCAGAGCGAGAACGCACGAAAGATTTAATGGACGAGTCGTTGCTTCTTCCTCTTCGATTCGCCGGATCAAAGCAGAGCACATCAACTAAAAGTAGTCTTTCTGAAATGCTCGAGCATGAAATGAGGAAATACAAGTAGAATATCTTGTAGGTAAATGAGGGTGGGAGTCAGTGAAGACTGCGTTTATTTATCGATTGTTCATTTAACACACTGAAATTTTTGTGTTTCGGTAGCAAGCCCGCAACGAAACATTGACAACAGGACTTGATTAATTCAGTTATTTATGTTAGTTATATGATATGGATGAAATTTACAAATGTGTAAACGCTGAAATTCAGACTTTATTTTCTCTTTATTAACTTTCTCTCGCATGTTACCGTTATACAAATAAAACTGCACTTAAGTTTGAATTGATTTTTAATACGAACAGTTTAATCCGTTAAAATTTGAAGTCGTCTCTCGTCTCCAAAACAAAGCAAGTCTCTGCAGCCACTGGCGCCAGTAGTTCTCCAGCAGCGCCGGGGTCAGGATGTGCACATCTCCTGGCTTGCCGCTGTTATAGCTGTAAGCGAGGAGACCCGTCCTCACCTATACAAATTTTAAAAGCAACAAATAAAATCAGTTTCCGTCGGGATGAAATTATTAACGTGACGCATAATCATTACTGCTGAGAACTGCAGGTAAAGCGTCGTGAGGTATCAATTACAAGAAAAATCTACCTCAGAAACGAGCATGGGTCAAGTAGTCCAAAATCATAGTTAATTCCAAGGTTCCTCAGAACTTAGCATCTTCAACTTTAATTGAAATCGTCTTTCTCAAAATTTAAATCAAGCTACTGAAAGAGACAAGTTGTGAATGGGTCAACTTGAAACATAATGAGACGTCCCATAACTTACTTGTCTTAAGTGCTGCATGGCAGGATCAAATTGTAGGGCTCCAAGGTAGGCAGCAACCTGCAGGGGGTTATCGTAGGTCGCCTGGAGCGTTCGCTTCACTTTGCTCGACGTCTTCCACTCGATGACCATGGGTGAGCCTCTGGTGAAACAAAATCCGTCAAACGTTACTTAAATATATTATTAAAGTATGTTTTTTAATTATTATCGGAGACGATTTAAAAAATTAAATAACATTGATTTAAATTAGTCTCTTATGGAAAGCTATATTTCGATTTTTATGCAACGAAATTTATTTTATTTCATAACTACATTCAGTTTCTTAAGAGGATGACGTGCTTAAACTTAACTGGAGACTTTTTCATCTTATTGACGATTTAAGACTTGAACATTTAGAAGTTCATCTAAAAATATATAGCTTGTCCGTCGCAAGTAATTCGTGAATCAACGTATTGAAATTATAAAGATAGTGAGCCCAAAGTATGCGGGGAAAAGGGAAAATATGATGAGCGTGGAATAAATAAAAGCGAAATATAAGCAGCCATCAGGACGAAATAACCGAGCCAAATAATGTACCTAATAAATGTTTTTTTAATAAATCTTTCTCGTCCAAAGGCAAGAACAATAGGCCAGTAATCACAATTGATTTAGTAATACCGATTCGGCCGAAATTTCTATGATCGTTAACTACTTATTCAATAAACAGATTTTTACATTAGCTGGTACATGAAAAAATGCGGGAGCTGGTGGCAGGGTTTTACCAGCTGAATCAAAGAATTCATCCCCTCAGAGCACCTAATTCCTCTTTAAATCTGTATGAGTATTACGGTTTACCTGACTAGTATGGAAGATACACGTAACCTATGTGCTCATTGAACAGGAACTGAAATACACCAAACAAACTGGTTTTGTTCCATCTACAAAAAGTTTTTCAATAATTTCAAAGCTGCAGGAAATTTGAATTCAACCTGTAAACTGCAACGCAGTCAATAATGCCGCCATAGTGAAGATGTGGGTGCACAACTGATGATTCTAATGCAGACACTCCACCAGCTTGCTCCACTTCAGCCACCACATTCTGCACACTGTTCCACAGCCCCTTCAGTTGCATCAGTTCTTGCTCTAAAGGTGCCTGATGTTGGTCCAATTGTGTGTGTATACATCGATGCATGAGAGATCCTTGCGAGAATAATTCTGAAACAACATCAAACTATCATAGAATGGTGGATTATATATAAAAGATGAATATGTACAATTTTTCTTAGTAAAACGTTATCAACAGCTATTTTTGGTACAGTAAAGAAAAAAACAAACATTGATATCAATTTATAGACATACAAAGATACTTGTATTAATACTTCTGAAATGATCATAGAAAATACATATGATAATATCTTCCCAAATATTTACATTTTGGTGATATTACCATTGTAACATAATTCATACAGTACATTCTAATAATTGCCTTCAAAATCCAATTATCAGACTCATTTGAAAATAGATTCCTCGCCATTCTGGTTTCTTCAGATAATTGCAAGCATTTGTCTTGTTAATATTTTCTTACTAATCATCATGCAATTCTAATTTAATGGGCTATTTATCAATTAAACAATGACTAATCTCATAACTAATCACATTTGTTCACAAACCTACCTTGCTTGTAATCCTGAAATCCTTGTACACCCAACTTGGCAATCATCTGAGCTTCCCACTTGGCAAGGATTGCAAGGCTGGCATCTGACATGGTGCTGCTAAGGATGTGGCTAACACTGGGCACTTTTTTGTAGGGCTGGGGCGCCCCTGCAAAACTTCCATTGACCATTGTGTGGAATTTTGCTCCAGTAGGATGTCTGCATGTTTGAATTGCATCAATAGCATTTCCAGAATTTAGAGGTATGCTTCTAATGACATTGTTGACTGCAGCCAGATGAGATTCAGTTCTGTCACTATAAAATAAGGGGAATGACAGTAGAGAGTTTATATCTATTGTAGTGGTAGTAGGAAAATATACTGAATTTTTAACATGTATTATCTCTGAGTTAATTTCTCCCTCAAATGTTTCCTTATTAAAAGGGGAATTTTTTGGCTCAATAATAGTTGACTCATCAGTTTTTGGGATTGAATTTCTTGATAGGCAATCCACTGCAAGATGAGCCAATTCAACAGCTGACTTTTTGTTGACACTTTTGATCGACGCCTTCACAACATTTTTTTCTATATCACAAGATGTTTTCTTTCCTAAGGAGATTCGAGTTGAATTTACATTTTCAGATCCAGAATGTTTGCTTCCATTATGTTTTGCAGTGGGAACATTTCCTGAATAGATAGCAGCAAACCTCTCATAGTCTTCTCTATGTTCATGATACCAATTATCATGCTTCATTGGTGAACAAATGCTATTGAGGTTTGTAAATTCATTGTCTTTATTCTTCAGTCTTTTAATTTTCTGTTTTTTTGTTTCAAGAAGAGGACCAAAAACAAGCCTATTAAATACTCTGATTGAATGCAACTCTGACTTCATTTTCTTATCCAATTCAATTTTCTTTGTAAAACTGTTGGATTTCCTTACTTCACTGCTTTTTTTGCTCAATTGTTCATTTTTGACACATCCATCAGAGTCAATGTTATTATATTGAGTATGAAAATTGTGCTTAATGTCAACAGCAGTTAGGGCAACCATAGGCACTATTTCATTTTTTAGTGCAAGGAAATTTCTGACCAGATGAATTTTTCTTGCAGCAGATGAAAGCATAATTTCAGGAATAGAAGGGAGGAAAGAATGCTGTAAATCTGAAAAAAAACAAGCTTTTAATTTCACACTGATTAGTGGATAGACATAGTTAAATTGTAATGACAACCTTGAATTGGCACCAAACAGACCACTAATGATCAAATGAAGCTGAAATAAAATTTTATCCTTCAATTGGTGGCATTGCAATTGACAACCAGCAATATAAATACAGCTATGCCAAGCTGTGGAATTGCAGAAGATTTAAATATCCCTTGTGACACTACTGATCCTAAAGAACACCTGCAGGGAAATGAGATCAAGCCAACAATTTAATAACAACTATTATCAGTTTGGTAAATTTCTAAGATCCAATTTGACTTCAAAAACTAGTTTGAATACCATCAAACGTGTTAATAAGGGATGGGCGGGGTAAATTGGGCTATTTCTCTATCATGGCGTAAAAATGTTATAGCAGCCAAACTAATTAAAATATTGCAAAACTAAAAATAGTGGCGCTGGCATAAACATAAACATTTTCCCTATCTATTTAAATTAACACAAATGAAGTTAATAAATAACAGATTTATAAGCTCTAAGAAATCCCTATAAAATTTTAAAAAGTGATATTAAAAAAAACACTTCTGCTATGGTCAGCATAAAAAATATTTGCTGTATAAAAAATTGTGCTCAAAATAATTTGCAGAAAGGTGTCGGCTTCAAGTTTTAAACTTTATCAACAAAATTTGCATACCCCATATGGGCCCATAACCCAATTCAAAACAAAATTGCAGCCATTGCAGCAAGACAGGGTATTAACACGTTGACTACGATTGCTTCATCTTGTACTATTATTTCATTTTTTGTACTTTTTTTTAAGCAGGGTTGCCAGACGGTTATTTTTTCCGGACAAATTCCTGGATTTAGTTTTTCTCAATTGCGTTGGCTGGCTAAAATTTAGGATAGGGGTACTTCTCAATTAAATTTTAAATACTGCAAAAAGAAAATAAATGGAATTTTTATAGTGGAACCTACAAATAAACTAGTATACATTGAATTATTGGCCTTTTTTGTTCTCGGATTTGGCCGATTTTAGGCAGCTGGAATTACCGTAAAATGGGGTAACTTTGACCACTTTTTTATTTCGAAACAATGCCATTTTTTTACTAGATAAGTTAAACTTAAATTGAAACATGTAAAATACAGGTCTATTATCTAGCTTTACTCATCATAAATTGCTGGCGCCTGCCTCTCATAGTTTTGATGTAATTTAAAAAAAAAGTGATGGTCTTTGTTACATCAGCTCTTGGGGTTTCTTTGACCAGGTGGTAAAATCAATTTTATTTTTTGGTAAAATAACTCCAGGTTGTGGTGCATTGTAGTAGAACTCTTCTAGTTGCATATGCAAAAGACAGATTTTAGGAAAGTGTCATAGTTTGCAAATGGGGGGGCGCCGCCCCCCAATGGGCGAAATGTGACCACCTAATGGCAGCCGTGAGCGGTAACATTGACCGGTTTGGAAATTAAGTTGAAATTACCATATATAAGACTCTGTAGAGTCTGAAACATAAAGAAAAAATGTTAATAGGTGTATCAAACATAAAATATGTTATATAGGTACCTATGGTAATTTTAACTTATTTCCCAAGCCGGTCAATGTTACCCCGTCATGGCTGCCATCAGGTGGTCAAAGTTCCCCCATTGGGGGGGTGGCGCCCCTCATTTGCAAACGATGACACTTTCCTAAAATTTGTCTTTTGCATAGGGTAAACGCGGTATATTCCGACATCGTAGGTAATTCCGTCACTTCTCTAGTTATTCCTTTATATTAAGCTTTGTTTTAGTTCCATGCGTTCATTGATGGTTGAAATGGTGACGTCATACATTTGCGTGTCGAAATACTGCAAAAACACTAGGTCTTGGCCATCTAGTGGGAAAATATTGAGATCCAAAGAGAGACAATGCATGCCACCTGGTGAGATCATCGAAAAATGTGTCAAATTTGACAGTTGACCTTGCTCTACCAAATAGTGAATAACTGTTTTTATAGGAAGAATATTATGGTTTGAGACTTTTAAATACGTCTGTGAATATATTAGGAATCCTTTAAGTAAACTTGTATTTGCTGATTTCAAGTCGTAAATAAATTAATAGATGATTAAGTTGAGTGATGGATTTAGACCCATCAAAACTAATTCCGACACAACTTGAATTGGACACACACAGATCGTTCCAAGCTTTGTACAAAAATTGAAATTTGCTTAATTAAAAGCCTAATAGCTGTTAATTAAAACGTAATTACGTAGCGTTCAATATTCGTTAGTGTTCTAATTCAAAGCCGTGTTGTATCCCAATACAGCTCACACAGCGAATGGAATTCGAATATGTTGATGTCGGCATTACATATCAGTTAAATTTGAAGCGCTGACACAATACGACTCACCACGTGTCGAATATTGCCACACACAGTGACGGAATATAGGGATTTGGTAGGTTTCCATTCTAAAGGCTTTTTAATAAATATGGCAACATTTTGTGACGTTTCATCGTTGCTGACGCGTAGTGAAGTGTTTTGAGAGTCACGTGAAGGCAACAGAACTTGCTTAACGCATACGTTTTTTTTATAGTTTTTCATTTCTCGATGCGTCCTTAATGTGTCGGAATATACCACGTTTACCCTATGTAACTAGAAGAGTTCTACTACAATGCATCAAAACCTGGAGTTATTTAAAAAAAATAAAATAAATTGGAGGGGGTACTCCGACAGGCTTTAAATAATAGCTCATTTTTGTGGGTCACATTATTAATTTTTTAACCTATTAGATATGCAAACTTTTTAAATATTTCTATTGTGTTACGTAGCCTCAGTATTAGGCCTTTGATGACCATTGACAAAATTTTTCTATGTCAAATCATTTTTGACTTTTGGTGGTTTTTGTTAAAAAAATAAAAAGTGGTCAAAGTTACCCCACCGGTCAAAGTAACCCCATTTTATGGTATGTACCACTACCTCCTGGAGAAATACATTTCGTGGTACGCATATGTACCAATACGTAGCCAACGTGTTAAGGGACATCCTGCCAGGGTAGAATAGTGGACACCCCTAAAAACACATTTCTAGCAGGATCATTCCACATCAAGGGGTCTAAAATTGAAAAAAAAATTCCACCATCATGGTCTCCAATTTTCTTCAAATTTCAACTGTAGCGCTGGCCACTGGTGAAGTGCTAAACTAAGTTTTCCAAAATATTAGGCCTCTAGCAGCAATAGTTGCTGATCTAGACTGAGTAGGTAGTCCGCATACGCGGTATGCGCAACGTAGTGAACTGTGAACATACCAATGTTGAACAAAATGCCATTTTTGGGGTCTAATAAAATTAAAAACTAATTTATATGAAAGGCTAGTACAATGAGATCCTGTACAGTTTTTTGCTCTGATTCTGATGAAATTACTTTCAACATTATTCAATACTGATGCATAATTCAGCCAAACAAGCCGACTCAAGTTTTGTCATGACTCAACGCAACACATTTTGACCAATATTAAGACTGCAACAATTTCCTTGCAGATCAAGATATGGACTTGAATTTTCTAACAAGCTTTATGCTTGTGCTGGACATAATACAGCCGGATTTTTAGCTTCCCAAGTTCCCAGACCCTATAGACGTCGGTCCGTCGCGACTGGGCAGGGTGGCCCAGTGGTTAAAGTTCAGAGTACCAAGATTGGCGCAGAGAGGCGCGGGTTCGATCCCAGCTCTGTGTGCCAGTTTCTGGTCAGAATCGGCAAGGAGGCTGGGCGGTTAAGGGGATCGACCTCGTCACCTCAGCATACGAAAACTTCTACAGTTATTATCCGATTGTCATGAAACTTCACATACATACGTAAAATGTAAAAAAAAAACATTTTTACATCGAGACACGTATCATTCGATTCGTAAAGACCATATCTATCGACTCTAACATCACTTTTTTCATTTCCACCTAGTTTTTTTTATGACGTTTTTTTCCCATTTTTTACATTTTTCACCCCTCCCCCCCATTCTTCCCCATATAAAAAACGAACCAGACCGAAATTCAAAAAAGTGATGTTAGAGTCGATAGGCCTGGTCTTTACAAATCGAATGGTATATGTCTCATTGCTGTAGCTTGAAAACTGTAGGAGGAGATAGGTTTTCCGTGACAGTAAGTTGAACTTTTCAGGAAGGCGCGACAAAGTTCTGTGCGCCTTGAAATAGTCACTAAATGTAGCATAGCTACCAAACTAACCAAAGTACAGGCTTCTGTAGCCTAATTCCACTCAAGGATGCTAGGAGCGACTTGCAGAACACCACTCCGCACAAAGCGAAGAGGGTGACTGCAGCTTGATGCCAGATACACCAATATTTGAAGTCTCAGCAAGTGAATTACCTTGGGTCTATTTGTGAAGGAACTCCACCCCCCGCCCCTCATTAAAGCCCCGCTGTGTCCGTAAATATTGACGTAAATGGATCGCAGTGGTATTGTTGAAAAGCTCAGAATGTCAGCTTTAAGATGAGACTAAGCATGTAACTGCAGCACAACTCAAGTAGAAACTATATTCAAAGATTTCAGCAGCTAATTACTTTATATCTAATACTTAAAGAACTCTCCCACCCGCTTCCCTTTAAAGAGACGTTATGAACGTAAATATTGGCGTACAGCGATGGCAGTGGTACCATTGGAAAGAGCAGAATTGCAGCTTTCAGATGAGCACAAAAACCGAAAAACGCCAAAATTGAAGTTTTTGCTGAGGTCGATCCCCTTAAGCACAGCAGAATTGTAGCAGTGCGTTGCGAGTTCGAGACCTCAAAATGCTGTGAATATTCTGCGATGTTAAGAATCGGCGACAGGCCTACGGCCTAATAAACGCTGAAACCGCTATTATTATTATTATTATAATGCCCGGGCGGGCCGGGCCCTAACCAAACACACCGCACATCGAAACTCGGATAAGAGATTCATTCCGCAACAACCAAATGCGAAATATTTCGACCTACAAACTACAAAGGCCAAGCCATGGTTGAACTAGTATAATTCAACCGTGGACCAAGTATTGTATCTATCTAAACATTTTGAATAGTTAGCTAGTTTAACCATGAAAATTTTGACGTGATTACACAGTGTAGATGGTGAGTCGTTTAGTCAAGTTATTTATATACATTGACATTTATCAAGCTGACATGTAATTTTTAAGCAAGTTATTTTTTGTATGTAATAAAATAATCTCATTGAATGATTTTTTTAAGCATATCAATTTATTCATATGAACTGGAGCTCATAACAACATCGTTCATTCATTAAGAAAAGATTGAGAAATTTAGGCGTTTCCGACTGTAATTGCTATTTATCACTACCGAATCGACACTTCAGCGAACTCTCCTGCGAACTGGCCATCACTCAGCGTGCTGATTTCAGGACAACTCAGACGAAAAATCTTTGATGCTTCTTGATACTCTACAATATGAAAAAATCATGACCTCATTTGAATTTTTGCGTGAAACTGAGTATATACACATTAAGTAAACTATATTCTAAGTGAAAGCATTATGAGCACGCTAAATGTGAAAGGTATTTTTCCAAGGTTTACTTATTGACAGAGCATATGTTAGAACATTACCACCACCACATGTGATAGATGACTATGTACTTCTAGACGATTATATGAAGTCATACTTTTGATGTAATGAATAATATTTTACATTTCTGAAAGTTCAAACACAATATTACTATTGCAACGATGCTTTGTAATACTTTGATACTTTAACTTTGTGTCAGAAATACAGTACCGAAGAGTACGACAGTTTTGTAGAGAAAAACAATTCTAGAAATCTGGAAAATTCTATTTAATATTTTCATCATATGCATGTTTCGAAGATTAGGTAGAGGTAGCTTCAATACCTTCCTAGAGAGAATAATTCAAGATTGATAACAGTAAAATTACCAACCGTATAATAAAAAACTTATCATTAGTTTACGAATTGAGCACTTCACAAACACTTCACTTCACTCATTTTAAGTCACATGTCACAGCACATTTATTCAGCTAGAAGCATTCAATTTATGAGGTAAAACAATCTATCAATACACATATTGCAAATAAATTATTTCGAATTAGTCCTGAAGAAAAATTTTCAGTGCCTTTGACACGTACATCGTTTCAATATATTATTATGACTTACGTTGATCTGCCTGATCTTTATCGATATTGCACGAGTAATGCAGGATATTAATCACTTGCGTTATATACATGACAATCTCTCTTAAGATATCAATGTTATAGCTCTCAATTAACACACATATACACAAATAACAAGTCAGCGACACACGGGACGATTATATTCGTATCTTACATACTCAAATATGTATAATTATAATTCAATCAAAAAGGTCAGTTCATTGGAAACAGTAAATTTAACTCAAAACAATTTTTAAAGCCCCTACGTCTAATAGAAATGGGAAATGCACGAGATACTACCTATGTTCTGTTAAGCTATCAGATGAGTAAATTTCGAAAAAAATTATGATATAAAGCTAATATGTATTTCCAACGAGATACCTATTTAAAAACCTGAGCATGTTCAGTTTAAACCAAGGAGCTCTCACTCAATGTCGTTTACACGAACTTTATCAAAATAGCAATACTTCGAGAATCTGGGCCTTTTTGGTGACAACTAGCGTGTTGCCTATGATACATTTGTGTATTACTGATTAAAACGATATATAATAACAATGTATTAGAGTGCCCTTACCGAAATGCTGCGCCTATCCTGCCTAACATGATTGAATATCCAACATAGTTCGGCTGTAAAAATGAACTTCAAATGAAATTGAACAATCTAAAAGGCACGAGACATCAGGACGGCTGAAGAGGTTTGCAACGCTAGCCAGGCACATCTTAGGAGCATAGCTACAATTTTCTACGAATAAAATCGCACAACCGAACGTAAGATTTCATCAGAATTTGAATCTGATATTTTGTAGTGTTATTTGAAAATTGCACGATTTTCTTATTACCCTCGTTGAAGGCTCACGAGGCTACAAATTGCTCACGTTTTAATTGTAATTGTTTAGTTAAATTGCACAATTGATTTGGCCGCCGAGGTGTGTGAAGACGAAAAAAAGTCAACGTTCCTCTGTGTAGCCAAAAGTCTGCACAAGACCATACAAAGTCTATCAAAGAAATTCAACAGGTAATCTACTAAACTGATACCAAACACTCTCTTTCTTGGTAAATCGGGACGTCAAAATTCCCAAATGGTAATAAAACTTCATCTGGAGCTCCTTCAAAACAGATGCAATAAAATCAGCCGGTATTCTTGTAAACGAGAACCCATTTTTAGCGCATTTTCTCATGTATGTAAAAAAATGCGCTATTGTGTTCGTCATCTCAGTCCGCGACTTCACGTCCGTCGGTGACTTCACGGACGGACAGACGAGAAAATGCGCTGTCTGTCACTCACTGCGGTGAATACTGATCTATTTTTAGCGCATTTTCTCATTTATGAAAAAAATGCACTATTGTGCTCGCTATGACCGTCCGTCTGTCTGTCCGTCCGTTACTTCCCATTTTCGTCGACGAGAAAATGCGCTCTCTGTCACTCACTGCGGTGAGTACGGATCTATTTTTTTGCAGTCGAAGCCGTCAGAAGTCAGCGAAGAGAGCGACCTGAGCAGCAGGCGCGGCAGGGGTTGACTGCCAGTCTTTCTCAGGGTAGTCGTCGAAGTTGCGCGTGTCGCCGTCGTAGCTCACTTTGGGCACGATGGGCGGCTGCAAGGAGTAAAGTATCAAGCACTTGTACAGAGAGTACGGTACATTTTGTGTATTAAATAGAGCGTAATTTACATCACTAGCAGCCGGTAATTTAAAAAGACTAGAAGCAAGAACCAACAAATTTGATGACATAAGATTAGTAAGAATGAATTGAGGATAGAAAATACAAATTGCAATCTGTCATTGTTGTTAACAGACACTCTAAGCTTAGTATAAATTGTTATGGTTTCGAACATGAATCAAAATTTCCAGTAATCATTAGGCTATAAATTTTACACACTGATGAACCAACATCGGAAGTTATGTAGGAACAAGTAAAATAAAAACCTGTGTTTTCTTCTCATATACGTCGTCCCAAATAATGTGACGGAATAGCTTGTGACGCTTGATGTCCTCTGCGCCGTTCTAAATTGAGAAAATAAAGGTTACATTAGGGTTGAGTACAATTCTCACCCCATACATAAAGGGTATGCGATATGTTGAAGCTAGCATTACAGGAGAAAATATGACAGTTTCTGATACACTAAAAGTCTGATTTCATAACATCCATATTTAAGCTAACTTTCATTAACTTCACAATGTTTTACTTATATAGAACCTAGAGGCCATAATCGTTTTATACACACAGCAAATTTATAGTCAACAAAAACTGCAAGTTGTCAGAGTTTGACGTTCATGGTAAATGGTTCACTCAATTATTTTAAAAACGTGGCAAGAACCATGAGATAGCAAAACTAGATTAATGACATGGTGTAACAGGCCAAATTAAAACGTTAGTGCAACTTGTCTTTCTATTCACTCTGCAATCGTGGCAGAAACTAAAATAATGACTAAAATAATGAGATGTTACACCGAGCTGAAGTCGTACCTTCATGGCGCCCAGGCGCCGGGTTCTCTCAGCAACCAACAGTCGCTTGATGAGGTCGCGTGCGGAGCCGTCGATGTATCTCGGGAATTGGTATTGACCGCACAAAATTTTCTCGTAAATACCAAAGGGATTTTCATCGAAAAATGGCGGGTGTCCAGCCAGCATCTCGTATATAAGAATACCTAGAAGAAAGATGAACGAAATATTGAAAAACCCAGAGGGATGCTTGTTTGAGTTCCTAATGTAAGTAAGGTACTAGTAATATTTTCAGGAAGTAAGGATCAACATGTAGGAAAAATTAAGGTGAATTCTAAGTGTATGATAATGAAGAACTTCGTTCTCAGGAGGTTCGGAGAAATGTGATGCAATTAATTTCTTAGAATGATAATTAGAAAGAAACGAACTAATGACGCTTACGAATTAATTAAAATTGCACATCGTCGGTGACGGCGAACCTCGTAGTATATATAGGTAAACAAAAATAAATATAACTCAGTACTCACTGCAGTGAGTGACAGAGAGCGCATTTTCTCGTCGACGAAAATGTGAAGTCACGGACGGACAGACAGACGGACATGGCGAGCACAATAGTACATTTCTTCGATAAATGAGAAAATGCGCTAAAACTGACTCAAAATTAGTTCAAGGTTCTTTTCTGTATTCTGATGAAGAAAAGCTTAGGATGTGCAGCACTCACCGAGAGCCCACCAGTCAACGGCTTTATTGTGGCCTTTGCCCAGTATAATTTCCGGTGCCAGGTACTCCGGCGTCCCGCAGAGCGTCCACGTTCTGGTGGTGAAAAGTTTATTTACTAAGAAATGCGAGAAAAAACTTTCACTGTTTTTCACTTTCACTATTTCACAATTCGCAGCGGCAAATTTATTATGTATCTAAATTCGAAAATAGTTGAAGGCATTAAAGTAACGGTAGACAACTGGATACGCATTGCAATTATATCACTAGATACCGAACAGACGAGATAATGATTGTGTGCGATTAATCAACAGAAAATACATTGCATACTTCTTATCTCTCACCTGTCTGACAAAACTTTACTGAAGCCAAAATCTGTTATTTTCAGATGACCGTCTCTGTCGAGTAATAAATTCTCTGGTTTGACGTCTCTGTAGACGATCGACATTGAGTGGAGGTATGCCAGAGCACTGATGATCTCGGTCGCGTAGAACACCGCTGCGACAAACGCAAATGGATTACCATGAAACGGATTGCCAAAAGAACGCGCCTGAAAATCGAAATTGGTTGGGAAGTGCTGATAATATCTTGTATGATGGCAGTCGGAGTATGCAAAGTAGGTAGTTAGAATATATTCATGACAAACAAAACATTGAAAAATTAATAATAAAGAAAAATAACAAAAGTTGGATGATAAAAATATGGTTAAATTTATGCAAGCAATGAAGTTAAAAAAGGTTTTGTAGGAGACGAAGAGTATTCGGCTTGTTTGACCTTGGCTTCCCGCTGCAACATATGCAAAACATTCACCAGTGTTATAAGTTCTCCGAATAAGTGCGATCTATGTCGCACACGATTTAAAAAACACCTTATACAAGCCCCACACAGTAAGAACAGCGAAGAAATTAAATGCAGTTCATTAATTAATAGTGACCTAAATTTTGATAAAATTCTACTTAAACAATAAGTAAAACACGCCTCTCACAGCTTCTGTTCTAGACAGTAATGGAATGCTCAGTGTTTTTTTTTCGGTACCAGAATCCCAAGTTGAACCAGTTCCTCGTCGACATCGTCTGATGCGGTATTCAGAACTAGTTTTTACAGCGTCATGAGAACAGTTCATGTTCACTGCATATCTACCAGAAATTTAAGGAAAATTTGAGGTTTCCTAAACACAATCGAAATCCCCATTTAGCTAAGGTTTTGGGAATCACTTGTTGGTCAGAAAAACATCATTTGGACGTATTATAACTATATATAACGAACTTAAAACCTCTCCTGACAATACACTTATAAATGAAAAGTCTCGAAAAAAAATAAAATAATGTTTGTAATACGTGCCCAATAACTGGATAAGGACGTCAATTTATACTGTACTATACATAAAAAATAGATATAGGGTCTCAAATCTTATCCAATTTTTTTTAACAAAACAAACTATGTTTTTCTAGCTCTCTGAATAAGCTTAAACGCAGAATAACGAAAATAGAATTTTCTTATAATTCAAAAGATGACGGCCGTCACACGCTTCGAAGGATTCTCTTGAATATTTCTTGAACGCTGCTACACCACAAAAAATCAGATCAGCTTCAACAGGTAAAATTGGCTAGAGCCGACGAAAGAGCTGCTCCAATTGGGAGAAGATATTTTCAAGATGTGTTATTCTAAATAAATCAAAATATGTCCGCACACTATACGGTAATAAAACACGCACGTTTTAATTTAATAATAATGCAACGAAGGCTAACTCACCAGTGGCCAGAGGAAATCTGCCAGCACTTCTGAGGTAAGAGAAGAGTTCTCCTCCGCAGACGTAGTCGAAGAGCATGTAAACGAAGCTGTCGTCGTGGTGGTGCCACAGCCTGTATACGATAATACGACTCATTAAGTCTATCACTGTACGATAATACGACTCATTAAGTCTATCACTGTACGATAATACGACTCATTAAGTCTATCACTGTACGATAATACGACTCATTAAGTCTATCACTGTACGATAATACGACTCATTAAGTCTATCACTGTACGATAATACGACCCATTAAGTCTTTCATTGTACGATAATACGACCCATTAAATCTTTCACTGTACGATAATACGACCCATAAAGTCTTTCACTGTACGATAATACAACCCATTAAGAATTTCACTGTACGATAATACGACCCATTAAGTTTTTCACTGTAAGATTGTGTAGTCTTTCATCGGTTTGAAATTAATGAATAGCTTCTGAATTACCCCACCGATAAATAACCATTACAAACAAATTAAGCGTGCGAAATCTTATGCATTTACAAATTTTGCGTCAAATTATCTAATTGGCACTAACTATTTCATAGATTAGATTTTCTAATTACAAATACTTCTACTACTTCAATTAGTATAATTCTATTTCTCTGAACCACCAGCAACTCGAAAATGGGTTGGTGCATAAACTTTCACAGTGACTAATTCGCTTATTCAGTTCCGATTTGAAAGACAAACTTTTCGTAAAACAAAAACGAGATTATCGAGCATTTAGTGCTGCTAGGCCTTAGTTCAGGTAAAGCATGTGTGAAAACTTCAGTAGTCTTGATATTGATACGTTCTTTGTCAGCATGAAACTTAAAACCTAACGGGTAACATTCACAATTTTGAGAATAAGTATCACCAAACTCAATTTTAAACGAAAGGTAATTATTCCTCCTTCATACAAATAATTCAGAGTAAACTTAACATTCATAGTTTGCAAATTAATTCCACGAAATAACCTAGTCATACGAAATTAACTACTTATTTCGATATAATTACCACTAAAAGCCAAATAATTTCCTGAACGGCTAATTTTACTGACGTTTACCTAACCATGTAGATAATTTCTTTATAATGTCGCAATTGAATACCCATTGCTCACATGTCGACAATGAATGGATGATGGACTTGTTGTAGAATATTTTTTTCGTTCCAGCAATGTTCGACTTGCTTGAGTCTGACCAGGTCTTCGATGGCAAGCACCTTGAGTGCTCGGTACTGTCCTGAGGATTTGTCGCGACACACGCACACGCGTCCGAACGTGCCCGTGCCTGCACAAGACGCAAATTCATTATATTCGTAGAAATAATTCAATATAATAACCCAACATTAAACATTTTTTAAATATGCTAGTTTAGAAGAATATTCGTTACTGAGAAACACAACGTGATATTAGGCCAATGACAATATTTAGTGCTTGAAATATTATCAGCTTTCAATTTAAATGATCCAATTTGTAATAGCCAAATAAAAATATTTTCCATTCTTAAGTGACGTGTGCTTTAAGGAGAACTACGAGGCCACTAAAAATTTTTTTCCGATACGCCTCCGACCTCATCAAGTAGACTTGCACATTATCTCAATGTAGCAAAACAGTCAACGCTGACACAAGTTTGGCAAAGAGCCAACAAGATAAAGGCTCATCATGAAAAAAATGTGAATGACTGTAAATAGAACTAAAACTGCCAGCTTTAAATAAAATCGAGGTCAAGTCACACTCTTAGACTAATGTTGACCGATCAATCAGTGATCATGTGAACCATGCCTGGGTTGATGGTTCCGGCCGATGGTGTAATTAAACAATATTATTTCTATACGCCAAGGATTCTGATTTTAAACATGACGACGTGTCTATATGATAAGTCAAATACTGTACTCATTAGATAACGCTTGAACAATCTACAGAATTTGGCAAACAAATTTCATGTCATTTTAACAATTATCAGCAAAGCTGAACCAACTTCCACAAAAAACATACCACTCACGAAGTCATCCTGGAAGTCACTCTAATTGGAAACATGACTCCAACTTTTTAATAATATTCAGTACAATATCGAACGCAAAAAATTCAGGAATGTTAATTTTCACTTGAAGTTTGACCTCACGCGACACTTGCATCACGCTATTAAACTTGCAGCGAGCTATCATGCTTGTAACATGTTATTATGGTTGATAAACTCAATTATGATCGCATCACGCTGTTACACTTGCAACACGCGGAACTTGCAATAACTGGGCGACACTTTCCGCACGCTATTATACTCGCATCACGCGACACTTACAGCACGCTATTATACTCGCGACACTTACAGCACACTATTATACTCGCGACACTTACAGCACGCTATTATACTCGCGACACCTACAGCACACTATTATACTCGCGACACCTACAGCACGCTATTATACTCGTAACACTTACAGCACGCTATTATACTCGCGACACCTACAGCACACTATTATACTATAGCAGCACGCGACAATAGCGTGTAGGCGACTGGCGCAATGCCGTCTTCGATTAAATTCGGCTACCAAAGCAGGTCTCCGTGAACTTTATCGTATTCATCGGCGCAAGCTTCGAGCTGGGCGCGAGGGATGTTAAGCGGTTTTCAAGGTTCAGAGGGCAATACGGAATTATAACGTGCCTAGAACCGCGCGAGGTTGATGAACCTGGTGATAATTTCTGCATGATTATATTCTGGTTATTGTGATCAAAGGTCTGACCAGTTTTAGTCAAATTATGCTTAGTTTTTTTATGGTATTTTCTATGATTTATGGTATTACAAAAATTAATCGAAAACCAATTGATGCGAATTGATATTATTCAATCAAAAGCCATGCATGAGTGATACTTCAGTGCACAAAAAATTTAAAGCCGTTCACTATTTTATTTAAGATAAACCAATGGTTGCACAGTGGCACATCAACATTCCAAGAATTTTCACTATTTCGGAAAAAATTGACTAGGTTCAAGATGCGTAAAATGCTCTGCTGAGTAAAACATGGCTGAAAATTACTGTGTTTTTGAACATAAATTAGCTTGCCTACACATACGGTAAACAAGTAACATTCAGTACGCGCTCGTCGTCAAAAATCAATAGTCGCACGCATGAAAGTTTGTACGCAATTGTCTAGGTTGGCCAACTGACATGTCAAGCCAGTATATGAAAGTTTGTTTTGATTTTTTAGTTAACTTAAGAGCTTTGACCACCTAGTTCAGCTATAATATAAATGATTGATACGCTGACAGTTTTCCTGGAGGCAGAACACAGATGTTAATGACGCGAGTAAATATTGGAAATTATTCAACAAATGGTGTTCAAAACTAAAATTATGAATCGTAATTTAGCTAAAATCAGTATGACAGCTGTCAAAGTTTGTCAAAAATAATTTTGATCATAATATTACGAAACTAAAATAATTACATAAAAAGCTAAAATTATTTTTGAATTTTCGCAAATATCATGCTCAAATAACTGGTACATTGAAAAATGCAAGATTCCAGGCAGAGGCTTCCCCCAAAAAATTATTGAAGTTTCGAGGCCATCTATAAGTGCGTGACAACAAAAAGTCACCAGCACTAAATATCAGGTTTTTTCTATAGTTGTGAGCAGACGTCTGGATGCCACGAGACCACCGCGTGTCATGTTTCCTGGGTTTAAATTAATCCTAAATATCCTCGTGATGATAATCATGGAAATTATTAGTGTCAATTTTGGTTAAGTTATCATATAGACTCGCATGCAGGCTAGAAACGTGCAAGCAAATCATCACCACGGAGTCACATCTCCACAGTTTCGCCTTCATTGCCGCTATTCGAGTTGCCGCTGCTCGAGTCGCCACTACTCTATATTGTCGCCGCTACTCTAGTCGTCGTAACTCAAGTTGCCGCTACTCGAGTCGCCACTACTCTATATTGTCGCCGCTACTCTAGTCGTCGTAACTCAAGTTGCCGCTACTCTAGTCGTCGTTACTCTAGTAGTCGTTACTCGAGTCGCCATTACTCGAGTCGTCCTTGCTACTCTACTCTAGTCGTCTAGTCTTCATCCGTTACGTCGTCTCCTGAGATTTGATTTTGCACTACGAAAACATCTAGCGCAGTATGAGGAACAATCTTTTCGTTACAGCGCGTTTAAAAATTCTCATCCGATTATTTTACAGTACATTTGTCAATTATAAAGAATTTTGCATTTCGAGCACCTGTAAAATACGATGGTACACTGTAAAGCTTAACAGATTTTTTCAATATATATAATATATATTTGGGACCATATTTTATATTATTATTGCATCATGGTCATACAAGATTCCTTGAGTTACGCATAAATTTTTGATGCATTATGTTTTTTATTCCGAGTTTGATTGAAGTTCGACGAGTTTTGTTGTAGTGAAAGTACGAGGAAGGCCAGGAGGAGAAAGACCTATTCCAACATCTTGTGTCTCCTCAGATCGCTTCATTGCATTTTAGTATCCTGTTGATTATTGTTACTTTATTTTTCTGCTGGAGACTGGCTAGCCTTGGGTAATTTTGTTTTTGGAACTGGTACATTAAAATAAATATGTCATTCCCTAAACATCGTATACGATTTTAATGTATTATTTAACTGGTGCAACTCATCCAAGATTGTAATAAATTGTCCTGAAATGAAATTGAGCAGTAAATATAAACGCCCTATAATGTGCATAGCTGTGTAACTGATATATCAATGTAATTTCGTAGAAGATAAACTCCCAAAAATTTTATACATAAAAAATAGGACCATTAAACTTTTTCTTAAATATTGCAGTAATCTTTGCGTCTGTCAGAAAACGATCTCATACTTTCAATAATTTTTATAAATTTTGTTCCTGGGTTTGTATTGAGATTGGTGCTGAAACCGACCGGGTCGCACGTGTAGTTGTACGAATGTATAGGCAGACCAGGGAGCGGAGTTGAACGAACAGGTTATAGGGGTTAGGGTCATTGGGGAGGGAGGGGAGGGGAGAAGGAGTCTGAAAACGGCAGAGTAGTTGGAGAATTACAATGGAGCATGATGATAATATATAGCATTTGAGAATGCATGTATAAATGATGATTTCAGTAAATCAATTATTCATTTTATATACACTTGCAGCACTACCACACCCTGATATAAAGCCAGCTTTATTTTAAGTTTTTGCTTTTATTAAACAAAAATTTACATGATAATTTTTGACTTAAGTCTGGGTATAATTGGTTCCATTGTATATAGAGATTGTCTTCTACAGACGCAGTACGCGCCTGAAGCTTGGGTGCGAAGAGTTATATAATGAAAAATAATCTTCCAAAATTTTAAACACACACTACGACAAAGAGGAAAAAAGTCTCTAGGCAGTAGTTTGCCTGTGCGTGAACAACGAAAGATAACCACTGCAGGGTTTATGCATGTGGCTGTATTCGTGACTAAAACTAATTTAGCCACGCGCGAAGGAGAAATTCATGTCTCTTTAAACATGCAATTCATAAGAATGATATAGTGGTTCAATAGTGCGTCAGGTGTGAAGGTAAGTCGCATCGCATATAAGAAAATAAAACATCACCAACGAGGTAGAAAATGTAAATCATGAAATGATTGTTATTCAAAAAGCATTTTTTCTCCGGCAATTTTTCCACCAGGACAGAAGGTCTCGAAGGGCCAGACCTCTTTACATAGAAAGTAACGGTGAGACGCAACAGCAAAGAAGACCTGCGTGTAAACTGTCCTTACAATACGTCGGTCGTCGGCCACCCACTCGAGAGAGAGATAAGAAATAACGAGACTTAGTGCACCACCCACCCGAGAGAGAGACTGAAAAGAAACAACATGACGTCGTCCACCCACCACAGATATAGACAAAAAGAAACAACATGACGTCATCCACCCACCAGAGTGAGAGGAAGATAAGAAACAAGACGTCGTCCACCCACCAGTGTGTGAGAGAGATATAAAACAACATGACGGCGGCCACAAACCAAAGAGAGACAGAGCTTCGAGAAGTGCAAGGTGTCCGGCCTGCGTTAGAACTAACCACACGGGATGCCCGTTATTGACCACCACTGCCCTGCTTCGAATGGACCAGCATGATCCCTTCCCTCAAGAACTTCGGAAAGTAACCTTATCGGTCGCAAGCTAACAAGCAGATCAAATATATTAAATTAGATAAATCAGCCCGCAGGAAAACAGCATGATATAGTCTGGACTTGCATCGTCTGCCATTACGCGAGAAAATTCTGCACCACTCGGACAGAGCGCGCCGGAGCCTGGGAATAAAT